TGGTCATATAAACCTTCCACATATCAGATGTCTCTTTCAAGAGAAGTTGGGCCTCCTTTCAACAAATTTCACTATTTTTCACACACAGTTTATTTTTCACAGTGTATTTCTGTAATTCCTTCATAGATCAACTATATTTGGGTTAAATCCCTTTTCTTTGTCATCTCTTTGAAATTCCAACACCTTTCCATCATTCTGCATGGGAACCTTGATGATTACTATGATTGGATTTTTCATTTCTCTGGCACGCCAGACATCCTACTTGGCACTTTAAATAATACTGAAATCATTGAGTAGAAGTTGGGGGAAAAAGGACATCATTTAACAAACCACTGCAAGGCTCAGTAGGATTTTGGGAACCTGAACTTGCTGATGGAGAAGATTTGAGTTTGGATTATTGTGTAGAGGGCCTGCAGCTCTCCACTGAGAAAACACTGCTCAACCTGTCTCCTCCGATTTTGGTATGCAGAGGTTGGCTGCTCTGTCTTACAGGTAGGTTTCGTAGATAAAGGTGTGTTTGTCGAATTAATGGAGGGTGGAGTAAGTTTCCTGCAGCTCCATTGGCACGCACGCATGCACTCTATGTACACTGTGAAAACATAAACATACATGGTAATTGTTGATTGGAATATAACTGGGAACACAGTTTCTTTTTTATTTTTCAAATGTCTGGACTGGTGAGAATGGATTCTTTTGAAACTTTTCACAATTTAATACTTTTTATGAACAACATATGCTAGTTGAGCATTACCACCTTCTTTAGTAAGTTAAATACAGTGACAGGCCTACCAGATGAAACAAAGTCTTGAAATAAATAAGTTCAATAATACATTTCTCAATATAGATATAAGGTAAATAACATCAAGTTAACAAATATGGTGCTAATCCCTCTTAAAACAAATTATTTAGTTGCTCCACCGTGTCAGGCTAATTTAGTTTTGCGAGTTGTGCAAGAAATTAACTCAAATGAATGCACAACATTTCGGCAGTATGGTAATGTAATGGGTGTTATGTCTTCTCAAGAAGACAAATCATTAAGCCGATTTTGTTCTTGCAGCTGTTTACAAGCTGAGTTGAGGGTGAAAACCTGTTTTAAATAAGAGTCTGTAAACTGTATTCGCTTACACGTGTATTAACAAACATGAAAGTGATTTAAGCACTTGCTGTGATTAATGATAAGTCAATCAAAATAGGCTTTATTCAGTGGTGGAGGAAGAATTCAGATTGTTTATTTAAGTAAAGGTTGCAATACAAAAGTACCATTACAAGCAAAATACCTGCATTGAAAAATAACACTTAAGAAAAAGTACATAAATATTGCATCTGCAGTTTCTAGGAAGTTACTGTCAAAATAAATGTAGTGGAGTAAAAACTACAGTATTTCCCTCTGAATTGTAGTGGAAGTATAAAAGCGGAAGTATAAAACAGCATGAAATGGTATCTCAAATTGGTTAAATTCCACCACTGGCTTTATTGATACTGACACATCTCTAAAAATCAAATAAATTGTATATTTGGAGATCAAAATGCAGCTGAAAAAAGGCAATCTGTTTTATTTGTTTCTCAAAAATGTGCAACAGCTTCTTTCTAAAAAGGTTGTTTATGCTCATCTGGCTCTGAGCCCTCCACTGTGCATTCCACAGAAGGCCCATTGAAGTGAGCTGATCCAAGATCTGTGATAAAACTTAACCAAGTCAAAACAAAAGCTCTCTGGATAACTGCAGTGATTCAAACAGGGCTTTGAAGGCACCTCCTTGCTGCAGAGAGCGACACAGCCCTCTGAGCTTAAATAGAGCACAGTGAGGGGAGAGCCAAACTGCCATGAGCTGCATGACAGCCACAGGAGCCGTGGCTTCAGGTTTCCTCATCTGGAAAAGGCACTGTAGCAGACCATGGCCGAGGGGGGAACAGGAGAGGGGATTATGTATATATACTATCTTGTCAGACTTAAAGCACAGACCTTCCTGTAAAAGCAGCTATGATTTTACACAAATATCACAGGTTCGTGAAGACAACTGACATTAAAAACAATTATTTTGCTGTTACAGTGAAATGTCCATACTTAAATGGATTTTTTCTGCAGTTATCCAAGCCAAACACATGTCTTATCACAAATCTAAAATCCGCTGTCATTTAGGTATCTGTACGTGTAGGGGACTGTTGATCTCCTATATCTCTGTTCGCTATCTCTGTTATGGTCACTTTGTTTGGGTTCCTTGTCTGATGACCTGCAAGCTCCTCCCTTAAGGGGGGTAGCCCGTCACTGAAGCTGGACTTAAGCAGCTTAGCAAACAGTTGCTTAATTACACATCCAGCAGTTACAGGGTAACGTTATCATTCATTTGGTCATGTTTCTGGCCACCTGGAATGTAGGTCCAGTATATACTCCCTTTTAGTGATGTCTGTAGGGAAATGTCTACCTCTTTAGCTTTTAAATGTGTCTTTGTGTCTGTCTGCCGTTTGGTGCTGAGCAGATAGTATACAGTGAGTTTATTTGCGGCTTGTTTGCTGAAAACAGCTGCGAGAGTGATCAGAGTGAACCAAAACAGTTGCGATGAGGGCCGGGCAGTAGGTCTGTAGGTTCATAACTATGAGTGACGCCTCTCACATTAGTCATTTGATACATTATTATAAAAAATGCCAATTATAGACACTTGAGACACCGAGAAATTACAGAAATATCAGTGAAATGTTCTTTAGTGTGAAAAGTAAATGTTCTTATTATGCAAATGTCCACTTTTAGTGTTCACTAATATGTATTAAATCACTGGATTATTTCTACTAATGTATTAGCATATACGCAGCATTTTACATAATTGCATATAAAAAGCAGACAAAACGATATCAAATCACATGTAAGATGATCCTGCATAAATGAAAGGAAACCTAGTAAAAAACCATGACAGATCAGATAGTCTTACAAGCTAATACCAAGGATGCAATACATTGTATTCAGCATATATGTTTTTAAATGCAAATCTTAAAAAGTGACCAATCTGGAATAAGGTGGAGTTGCAGGACAAGTACTTATGTACATAATGTAAATTAATGTACTTTTCTGCCATTGAAGCTCAGTTTTATCTGAGTTTTATCTCCAAACAGCAGTTTGGATGACAGAGCACTTATTTGTTCTTATTTATGATTAGGCTTCCCAGTTGAAAAACAAAAGTCCATGTGAGGAGCTCATTAGATGATTTTAAAAAGTAACATTCATACAAAGCTCTTGTCTTTAGTTCGACCCGGCCGCCACAGTGTGAACTCACTCAACAACACCGAGCGTGGTAAGTGTGAGATTCAAGCTGAACTGCAGCCACGACTGCACAGCTGATGTATATGTGCACTGCGACCAGCGCCGTAGCGTCTTTGTAACTTGGGACACCTTAAACTACGGAGCTTTAATACGCCGTGCTTGTACACGACATCCAGGCCCAGTTTAACTAGAGTAATTGTAACATTCAGTCTTGACCTTTGGCCCAGTTTCACATTCTCAGCCTTTGTTTCTCTGCTCCCTCTTGACAAGTTTTAACAAGCAGAGGGTTCCTGATCCTTTGAATTGTGCGGCCACAAGCTGATTATTTTTGACAACAGCCTGGAGGGAGGTCTGCGAGTCATGATGATCACTGTGTTCCTGACTGATGTTTCATCTCTGTGCTTGGTGCCTCACTTCCTTTGGGAAAAAAACGAGGCACTGAAATTCCTCGTCGCCAGTAAAAGTCTGTCTGCTGCGACCGTAAATCTTTATGGTCTTCAAAGTGAACAGTCACATTGTCTTTTTAATGTTTTAGACACTTTGGAGAATGATAAATTATCCATGAAGTTCAGCACGCTCGCCCGGCTGTCTGTCTATCTCCTCCAGGCTCCAGCTTTGTAATCTGTTTGTGATGCACCCATTTGAAAAGTTGTTTTGTAGTTGGTGGGTACTGAAAAGAGACACAAGGAGGAGCCCCACACATCAGGCAGGTACACAGTCTCCTCCTCCCGCAAATGTACTTAGCAGCTGTTTTCTGTGGAAGTCACTGGAGAGAGGCTGCATGGAAAAAGGAGTTGAGCCAGCTGGGTGGAGAGCTGAGGGAGGATTTTTTTCCACGTCTGTCTGTCTGAAAGAGACCGGCTGATTTTTCTCAGCGAGCTATTCCATCTTGAAGTACGCAGACTATCGCATGCAATGGCAAGCTGCAACGTTTTCAAATGAAAGGAGGCCAATAAAAACTGTGTTCATACTTGTTGTTGCTCACCAGACATCACACAAACATTATTCTTTCTTTTACACCATCTCGGGGGTTGGGGGGGGTGTTGATGGAAAGGTGCATAGCTCATCACTGCTGCACACCTCGCTGGTCCATTTCTATCAGTTGAACCAACACTTGGAAAATGTCGAAACACGTGTCTGAAAATAAAGTGTCTTTTGTGAATTCAAGCTTACGTTACATCTTAAAACATACTTTCAAATAGAGCCTTTCCTGATTTTAGTTTACTTAAATTTTTATTAAAATGTTTTCTTGTTTTATCTGTTTTATCTTAAAACCATGTATGTTTTATTTTCCTGCTGTGTGAAAACACGCTGTAAGATGGATTTTGAAAAGACTATAACAATTATTATTATTATGATGATGAATTTTGAATCATGTAAAATAATACAAATACATAAATACAACTGGCATTGAGATTGATTTATGCAGCATAGAGTGGATGTGCATTACAAAGAGAACATGCAGGTTCACACAAGTTCTTTAATGCGAAGGAGAAATAAATTAGTGTCAAAACTTGCTATGATAAGGAACAGTTCTGTTTTCTTGTTTCTTGTTTGTTTAACAGAGCAGCTACAGGACAGTAAAAAGACTCACTGTTGGGTGGAAAAGCTTCATGTTGGTACACTGCAGACGCAGCTTATTTCTTGTCAGACAAGCATAAATCTAAAAAGAAACCAGAAAATGCTGTCTGTATGTAAATCGCCGCTAAGATGAAATTATATTTCTTCCATGTCCTCTTTCTGATTTTAGAGCGTTATTATTGGGACTCCAAGCTGCGCATTCCCACAGCTGACTACCAGGAAGTCCTCCATGACGATAAGGCCACGCTGTCCTGGCTCTTGGCCCTGCGTCGCGTTGGCATCGTCTACCTGAAGGGGGCTCCGGTAGAGCAAGGCCAAGTGGCCAGACTGGCTGAGAGGATTGGCTATCTCAGGCTGACATTCTACGGGTAAGACTCCGTGACGCTCATCCATTTTGCTGTAGTCATCCGCAGCCAAGCCACTGTTTAATAATCTGACTCCCCACTAAACCTTGAACTGCTGAATTTTCCACTGATCATATTTTAACTGGAGCACAGCCCAGAGAGTGTTATTAGCAAAAATTAAATACAAAAGATCTTTATTTACATCTTCTTTTTAAGGGAATCAGGGAAAGAAAGCGGCTAGATATATGGATGAAAGAAGTTCATAGATTCTAACTTTCAGCATTAATGTTTAGGAAAATGTGTCCACCAGTCAATTATCTGTAGCTTTGATTCATTTTGGTTCCATGGAGAAGCTTAGAGAGTGTCTGTGGCCCTTTCATCACGCCATAGTTCATCACTTTGACTTACTGCAGTGCTGATTACTTCAGGACAGAGACGAGGAAAACAACCTTAAAGCATTCCAGCTTTTTTAAGCTAGAGGAATTACCTGGTGCACTCAGTCAGAACAGAGTTTTGGAGCGTTAAAGCTTTTCCACTGCCAGCGGATGAGCTCATACTGCTGGAAGTAAAGACTCTGCAGACTAAAGCTGAAGGCCTGCCATCAGAGAAACTAGACTGTTTTTACGAGTCGGGCATCCAAACGAGGCATGCAAACAGAACATGGAAGATAACTTTACCTCATTAGTGCTAGACTCCTGCTGCATCTCAATGAAGTATCTACTTCAGAGGCTACAGTCGAAGCATGCCTATGAAGCTGCCCAGTTTACCCGCAGGGATTCCTGCAAAGTTCATCTCATCTCATCCTTTTCTCCACACAGCCTAATTGTCGTCACTGATCTTCTAAAGCCAAAGTTAAATAATTATCGTGCAGTTATTAATGAATGTTTTCTTTGTCCTCAGGCACACATGGCAGGTCCAGGATAAATACATGGCAAACAATGTGGCCTACACTTCAGGAAAGCTCAGTCTCCATACGGACTACCCTGCATTACACTTTGCACCTGGAGTAAGTAAAATCTGATTTGTATGGTCTATTTAGAGGATTAAACTGCACTTAGCAAATATGGTATCACTTATGAATTGATGTGCTCCCTTTATAAGTTTGTTTCAACTGCTGGCATTTGGCTTTTATGCTGTTAAGAGTTGTAAAATGAGCATTTGTGCGGCATGTGTTGTAGGTGCAGTTTCTGCACTGCATCAACCAGGCTGTGGAAGGAGGGGAAAGTGTGGTGGTGGACGGCTTCCACATGGCTGAGCAGCTGCAGAGAGAAGACCCAGAGGCCTTTCGGGCACTCACCTCTCTCAGTGTGGACTTCACTGACACAGGGACGGACTACTGCGACTTCATGCTGCAGTCCAAGAAATGCATCATTGAGTAAGTGGAGATGGGCTTTCAGATCACCTGTTTTTATTCCAATACATACACATATTTACTGTCTCTGTGTGAAGCAAAGAGACTGTGCAAAAAATCGAATGACAAGAGTTTCAAAAAATGATGCAGTGATACTCAGGAGTGTGTGTTTGTGTGATTTGAAATGGAACACTGCCATCTGCTGTTCACAATTATGTCCATATATACTCAATATGGTCTCTAAAATCATTTGGAAAAGAGGGTCTTATAGCTACATAATAATATTCATTGTGTTGGAACAACTACATTTGGGTCTAATGTGTCCACATACTTTTCGCTATAGTAGTGTACCTGAAGCATAATAAAACTATTTAATTTACAATTGTGTAACAAAGAAAAAAGCAACAAATAATCACACTGGAAAAGCTGGAAATGGATCGATTGATCAGTTGCTGCAACAATTTTGATAATCAATTAATCATTCAAGTTGTTTTTCCAATAAAAAGGTGTTAAACTCTCTTGATTGAGCATCTCAGATGTGAATATTTTCTGGTTGTCATTGTCTTATACGATATTAAACCAAATATCTTTGGATTGTGACATTTGAAGACATCATCTCGGGTTTTGGGATCATTTTTCACAATTTTCTGAAACTGTATACCAAATCCAGATTATACCGGATTATTCGATAATAAAACAATCATTAGTTGCAGCCATACTATTGAATTTAAACAGTTATTCAGTTATAAACATTGTCAATACATTTTTTGTTGATCGTTTAATCAGTTAATCGATTAATTGTTTTAGCGCTAAAACTCATCTTTGTCCTTCCCCCTTCTCTCTGAGCAGTGTTAATGCCGAGGGAAGAGTTGTGAGAATAAACTACAACAATGCCACTAGAGACTCTGTGCTGGACCTCCCCTTACATCAGGTTCAGCCCTTCTACAGAGCACTGAAGGCCTATGTGGATATCATGAACCGACCACAGAACGTGGTCACCTACAGAATGGAGCCAGGTCAGTGTGTGTGTCAGTGTATGTCTACTTATATAACATAACAGGTATAAGAAAAATGATCTGTCTAATTATCTATCTAAGCCTCTTAATCATGATCACATTTTTAAAAAACTTATTATACCTAAAAATTCTGATTCAGTGGATGAAAATAAGATGGAAGAAATGCTTTAAAAGAAAAGGATCCACTCTGCAGGATACTCAGGCTTCCAGTAAATGGAACATGAACTTGTACAGTGATGAACGACAACATCTTTGTTGTCATCAAGGTCACAATGACATCAGAGAGTCCATTGTCCTCTCTGTCACTTTAGACCAAATCAAATTACCCAAGTCTGGTGTAACCCTCTCTAAATAATCACCGCTCTGCAAGGAGTCCGCAGCATGAAATGACAGAGATGGAGTAATGCTATTGTACGAGACATTACGGACATCAGAGTGTAGCAGGATGGTGCCATTAGTAAGGAGATGGCGTTTCAACAGCAGCATCCAGGGTTCAAGCCTCCATGTTGGAAAGCATCCATCCTGATGACACGTCCTTCAGATTGTTTAAAGGGTTCAGTATGCTTCGAACAAACCTGTTTGTAGGTGTCAGCCAACCACGAGTGTTTGAACCTGTTTTTTCCGAAAAACCACACTCAAAGGGTTTGCAGGGGTGTCGTCTCTTTATCTTACAAAACATCAAAACGCAAGCATAAAAATAAAAGGAATTTATTTTAAAAACTCTGTCTATCTGCTTTAATGTAAGATGCAAAAGTTAGCCTGTCTGGCAAACTAGCTTACTACCTACAGTAGTAACAGATTGTTACTTCCAAGGCCAAGAAGCATTTAATTAAATTATTTTCTGCGGTTACAGGTTACATTAGGGAAAAAAAGCTCTGCTCACAAATAACAGTGACTGTGTAGGAGCCCCTCCTGTTTTACACTCCAGCCAACAATAGATGCTTGAAACACGCAGCTTTAACTTCACTCTTTGAGCATGATATCATGCATGTGGCCACCAAATTCATATTTCAGCCTTTTACAAGGTTGTCATTTTAAAACAAGTCAGCCGGAAACATTAAAAAGTCAACCAACTCATGGTGCCAACGTTAACTTAATTACCTTGCTAGCTACAGCTATTAAAATCTGTCAGAGACAGTTGTCGTTTCAGTTGGCCACACTGACAGTTGCTTGATATAAATGAGAAGGCTGCTTCTACTTATGTCTGAGATCAAGGACCCATTTTTCCAAAAGGAAAAGAATTGCTGCTGTTTAATCTCCCATGTATCATTGTGAATTACATTTGTGCCATGCTAGAATGGAAACTGTGACAGGAATCTAAAACAAACCGTTTTATTTAAAGCATGAGGCCTTTGATCCATAACAACTGTTCTGCAGCTGACCCTGACCTCTGACCTCTCTGTGAAAGAGGCAGGGCCAATGACAAAATTAAATTCCTTACTGAGAGAAATGTAGGATCAAATGAAATATTCCCCAAACCCTTGTTTCTGATCTTTGGGTGTTGTTGTATTTCAGGCGACCTAGTGACCTTCGATAACTGGCGTCTGCTGCACGGGCGGAGGAGCTACATTAGCAGGCCAGACAGGCTGCGACACCTGGAGGGCGCCTACCTGGACTGGGACGAAGTCATGTCTCGCCTGCGGATACTCCGCAACTCAGTCCACGTTGACGTATGAGCTCCTGAAACACAGCCAAATTTAAATGCGTAGCTTTTCAGCTTTTGCAGAGAACTTAAATGATGTTGGGTGGCTTGAAATTACGAGTTGAGCTACATGTTGCTCTTAAAATGGTGAGATGATAGAAGGCAAAGTGCAAGGCTATTTCATTATCTGACCACAGGTCAAGAGTTAAATCTCTGACTCTGAAGTAGAAAAGCACTAAACCACAAATGAAACAATTTGTTGACAGCAACTTTTCAAACATGTAACATAGTGCAACGCTACAATGCAAAGATTAAGAAAAACACCTTGCTTTCAAATGTAAAGGTGCTTTTGGATTAGTCATGGTGACTATTATTACAAGTTTTTATGAGCTTAAATGTAAGAGTTTTTATACATTGTCCTGGGTACTCCACATTATGAATACGATTTTGTGTAATTGTAACTTTGTAAGTTTTCTGAGCTAATTTATCATTCCTGGTTCTCAGGTTAAATATTTGGCTCAACTCACCTTGGCTTTTTCTGAAATCACTCCCTCTTTACTATAAAATGCACAAAATGTACCCCGCCATTTTGTTTGATGATAACTCATCAGACATTACTATTTATTGCCCCTGACAGTAGATAGACAGTAAACTTTAACAGTAAAATTCAAGCACTTGCGAGGTACCTAAACCCAGATTTTTTTTCCTTTAACATCACATCTGAATTATTAGTAGAGATTCACTGATTAAAATTTTATTGGCCAATTCTGATTGTTTTTTTAAGTCTGGTTAGGCTACTGAACAGAGCTTTTTTGTACAAATATAATTCAACAACAACAACAAAACTTCAATAGGTGCATCTCTAATTGTTACTTTAAATGCAATTGTGAAAAATTACGTTTACAGAATTCCCTTATACCCACAGCAATCACTGTATTGTCACTTTATTTCACCAGCCGTTTATATTAACTTTGACTATATGTTTTGATCACTGTTATTTAATGCTTGCTAATTTCCAGAGTAAGGAATCCTTACCTAGCTATGAATCAATGTGGCTTATCTCAGAAGCCAATTTTTATATTTATATAATTATATAAGACAACAAACAGGCATGTGATTTGTGTGACAAAAATGCAGGAGCATAGCCAGCGTGCAGCGTATGTGGTTGTGGTCCTCCCCCAAGAAAATGTCATGATGTTTGATTGAAAATTTCATTTTCACATAATTTTAGACAGCTATCATAAAGATATTTATTCGAAATAAATATGTGAAGTAGTTTTTCACATTCAGACATTAGGAAGGAAATTATATATGTGAAAATATGCTGACCTATGAAGTAAAACGAAGCGCGATGTCCTTAAGTAATCCTTCACATTTTTGTGAGTGATCCCACTGTGACCTCTAAATACTGAGTGATGTTCAGAAATATTGAAGAATTTGGACATCAGTCAGTATTAATTATTGCTCCAGTCCTCTGTCCTCCTCCCTCTGCTGCTGAGATTCACTGCTTGCAGGCACTGCTGGCAGAGATAGGAGGGCAAGTTTGTCTCAGCCAGCAGCTACGTGTACCAGAATTTAATACATTTTAAGATCCGTGGCAAGCTAAGCTAAACAGTTAAAGGCAGCTTTTGTTTTAGATTGTTCCAAACAATTCACTATTATCTTAACAAGCGAGCTGAGGTCGTAGAAACAACTGCTGACAAAGCAGGTGTCAATATTGTGTGTGCTGAGCCCTGCCCTCCGTTAAACATGCAGAAGAGAGGACAGAGAAGCTAGCGCGACCAATTCATGTGGGCGACATTTTCAGGTCAGAAAAATCCTGTGATTGTGTATTTGAAACACCAGATTATGTTGAAAATCAAGGATTTTTCATGGAGTCAACTTAACTTTGAGGACATAACCGTTAATATTGATTGCATTGCATTTTCAAAAGTTTCAAGACTTTGTATGATCCCTGCTTTTGCTGTATATAGGGAGTAGGGAACGAGGGAGCGCTCTCAGAAACAGCCTAGATGTAAACTGTTTTAGAATACTGTATAATCCTGTGCCTACGAAAAGGATGTGATGTCCTTGACTTTCCCTTCACTCTGTAGACTTGAAGTCTGAATTCAGAATTGCGGTGCAGTAGCTGTACTTGAAGTGGCAGTGTGATAGAAAGTGTAAAATGGAGGATCCGACTCTTTAAATTTACCATTGCAAAGACTTACGCTTCTGCTTAACCCTTGTAAGCATCTGGCCAAACAAAGTTTTGGTTTCTATCTGCTGAGCTTTTGAGATACAGTGTACCGTCGCTGTCACATGTGATTATCTGACATGTGTTGTCACAAATCTGAAAACTGGCCTGTTTATCTTAGCTAATAAAAGGTTTTGGAGATACATGGAGGACAGCAACAGGACATTTTTGAAACTCCTGCTAGTGCCTGGATATGACCACTGTGGACAGACTTTTGTATGTGGTGCACAAAGGACTGAAAACAAACCACAGATCTCACTATGTAACTACTTTCTAGCAAAGAAAAACAACTGACAGTAACAATGTTGTTTTTTGCAATTTTGCAATATTTTGAGCACCATACATTCAACAAAGATTCATTTATGTCACCCCCACTGCATTGGGAGATGAGCAGAAGTTTCAGGTATCAATAATGTCCACAATGTTTCCCCCCCTCCTTCCTCCAGTCTTAATACTTTAGTGGTTGTGCTGCTGTTCAATATGGACTCATACTATTAAGCAAACTTGCATTTTGCAAAAACAAGTTTCACTGAAATGTCACACTTGCTAAAATAAATCTCCAAAGCTCTACATTTCTTATCTTGGTGACAACTTTATTATATTGCCAAAGCTGTACATATTCTATAAATACTTTTTTTCAAATACTGGAATACTTACACCTGGCATCTCATTTCATTTATTCCTCTCATTACAGCAGCTGGCTAGTACAATGACAGAGATGAGTTGTAACAATCCAACAAAAGTTCTTTTTAATTTAAGCAGAAAGAGCTGTCCCAAACCAATTTTGGAGATGCTTCAGATCGAGTTCTGTTTTATTTACAGACATGTGGGGGTGTCATTCATTAATGGAACAGCGTTTTCTGAATGTCCTACTAATCATTTTCATTAGCACAGTTTAATTACTGAAAATACAAGCATGTCAGAATCAAAAAAACATCTTCCAGTGATATAGCTGTACTGATATATATTGCTGATCTGGAGAAACTGTTCACCACATGAACGCACGTGCACACACAAACCCACACACTCACTGTGAAAGTTAATGGGCCAGCGATGGGACCAGATTCAACCCTTCTTTACTGTCACAGAACAGAAACAACATTAAGACTCGATCTCCTCGAGGAGCAGATGACGCCAGCTTCAACACACGGGTCGGATCAATCACAAGACGGAAAAATGCTGCTGTGAGTTTGAAGCTTTTGTACTTTTGTCACAACCTCATCTGTGATGTAAAAGCAGGTGTGGGGTAAACTGCATAACCGAAATGGCACTAGTGTCAGACATTGTAACTTACTCTTCTTCTCTTGTACCTGGAAACTGTAAAAGAAATTGCTAACCTGTTTTAAAGACTATACAACAAACAGAACATATAACTTATTCAAGCAATATCGGCAGAATGGGAGAATGTGGTGTTCGTATTCGTGTATTATTCTTTTACCGCTATCTTTGTAGTCATGTCACCAACTGCCTAACTTAGTTTCTTTTGTCGTATTAACTATTTGAAGTGGTTCATTCATGAGCAAACAGCTACAAACCATTTATAGCTAGTTTTTAAACTCGTTGAATTGACTTAATTGCCAGAGATGGAGGCTTTGCAGCCATTTTGCCACTAGTTTGTTGACATGCCAGAGCTGTGGGAAATTTCCAGTATCCCAGAACTCCTGACTTTACCTGACAATATTTGAATGTGGCAATAAAAAAAAATAAAAAAAATAAAAAAAAGAATTCCAGCTACAGGTCAACAAACGTACAGCTGATGACAGGTCACTAAATGAGATCCTTTACATGGAATTTAAAAAAAATTGCTGGTGGTTTTAAGGACTAAGTAACAGCATCAACAACAGCGCTTCTGCACTCACACATTACTCGCTATAATGTAACGCACGGTTTTCGCCAGGTGGGTTTGGTTTCCATGTCATTCTATTTCGACACACTAACAGCACATACTTATTATGACAAATTGAAAAATAACGTGTACCAACAGTATCGCAAACAATTAAGACTATAAGACACATTTAACATGGCTTGTAGTGGCTGAATTCTAATGGAAAAAAGTCTCTGCAACACTGAAAAGCTGTGACAAGATGACATTGAGGTTTACTGCAGCACCTGCCTCCACCTGCTGCTGCTGTTTTTAACCACCTGCTATGACATCACTGACTGGGGATTCGGACTGAGTGCAAAATGGTCCAAAGTTTGCACCCATAGAGAACAATACAGCTGCTGTTTTTTTGCCATGTGATTCGGAGTGGATTTACAAAAAAAAAAAAAAAAAAAACACACAGTCATGGAAAACTGAAGTCATCATTCACTTCAATCAATATGTACTATAAAAAAAAAGTTCTCTCTCACATTCTTCACCCTGTGAACACCAGTTAACTTAAGAAAACCTGGCTCTGGCAATGGCTAACTACTTATTTAAGTATTGCACATCTAGCAAACCAACAATTTGTAACATCTTTTTTTCCAGAGAAATGTACAGTCAATATATGTATATATATATATTAAAAAATATATATAGAAATATATAATATTTATTTTTCATCCTCATAGTAACATGCAATTGATAACAGCAGACCACAGACGATAAATTTTACAGTAGAACTAGAACAGTAATTCAGCCTGGGGGGCTGACATAGGAGAACACATCTGAGAACACTCACATTATTTTAGGGTTCAAACACTTTTAAGAAGTGTTTACATGCGGTGCTCAGGTGCAATGTACAGTAGTATTTTCAGTATGGGACGTTCTGCACTCTGGATGTCTCACCAGTTAAAACTTGGACAGACTGGAACTTTACAGCAACAACATATCACAGAATAACTCACACAGGTCTTATGGAGACAGGTAGAAGGGGTTGGGGGGGGATATAATCTGTAGTGAATGTCAAGGCTGTGCACGGGACCTGCATGCACTCTGTGCCTCGGGGCTATCCCTCACATCTCCTATCGGTACAAACAGTTGGGACTTGGCAGCTGGAACAATAGAAGACTCTCACACTGAGGGGAAGAGCTCGAGGGGAGTCTGTCCTCCCATGTTAAGGAGCAGGCAAACATTTAGCTAGATGGTATGATCATCAGGACAACAGCGATGAGGGGTTGGAAGTATTTACACAACATCACGGACCAAACACGTGTACACAGCAGGGTCTTAGGCTTGTATATACAGGAGGGAGGGGGGCAGAAATTGTGTGCTTAGAGTAAAGTTAGGGATTGTCAGAAGTCTGGTTTTTAGAGCTGAGATGCCATTTCAAGTACAGAGGCGGGGGAGGGGGGGTAGGACTAGCTAGGAAGGGGTCTCGGTGACAGAATCTTGGGTTTTCCTTCTGCCTCCTTCCCTTTCACTGCTGCCACGTAGGAGAAAAGGCAGAGGACCGAATAACAGATCTGATGTGCCTGCAGAAGGAAGAATTAGCCATGAGTAAGATAATGACCCAGGAGGTTACATCTGTGTATAGCAAAAAAAATACACAAGGAGCAGAGCTAGACAAGAGGCTCCCCTCAGTCTAAATCCTGTAGAAATATGGACTGTTGCATACTTGAGCATTTAAAAAGGAACCATGTGGAGCTTCTGACCATTGATAACACTATGGAGCAATGTTCCTATAAGTGATATGTTAGTGTGTCTGGCACATTCCTGCTCCCAGTTTCCTGATGTTCTGCTGATCGATAGTTGGTGGCAGTAAAACACTGAGAAGTGGAGCAATTTAAAAATGCACATTTAAATTTCTTATAAATTGACTCTGCAAATATTTTATGGGATACAGTGTGTTTTGGTAACATTCAATGTAAATAAAACTCCACAGCGCCCCTAAGTAGACAGCATGAAGAGCACACAGATCCTATGTTCTGACTGACCCGTGCATTGTTTCTTTGTAATGTAACCTATCAACACTAGTTGGTACTCAACAGAATATTACTGTGTGTGGATATTTTGAAGTGTGAACAGAGTTGTTGTGAAATTCCCCTCAGTGGTCAGTTTCCTCAACAAGATGACAGTTACATTTCATGATTATTTGGTACCAAACTATCCAGTCTTACAGCTGCTAAAGCTTCTTCATTGTCTCATTCAGAATAAGCTCCAAGCTCAAGCGCAGTTCCAGTTTAAAATCATCTCAACATTTGCAAGGCAGTGCGACATCGTCCAACAAAGCACAGCGTTGGAAAATTAAATACATGCAAGCGCACAATCTTGGTGGATTGCTTTTTAACCCGAGTGATTCTGCTATTTACATTGTGATTGTCGAGACGGGGTAAAATGATTGTCACCGGGATAACTTGAGTTGTATATCTTGTCTCATAGTATTCCAAACCACTGAAGTGTTTTGGCGTCTGATAAGCCGTTGGATTAAAATCGGAGTGCACCTCCACAGTAATGTCTGTCATGTTTACAGATACAAATGTCAAATTGTGTGAGACATTTCTGCTGTGCACACCTTGTGACTTCTACACTACCTTCACTGATAAAAGAAAAAAACAAGTATTGACTCTGACAGAAGAAGTGAGAACTCACCATGGGTGTCTTGTACTTGTGGATCACCACTTCTTTAGTTTCAGGAACTATGCCGGTGCAAGAGACAAAACAAAGAATTCAAAGGCAGCAGGAACTTCAATGTTTGAGAGCTTTGGGGGTTGGACTTTCAACAAGGTGTAAAATGGTATGTGGGCCAAGAAGAGTCCACTTCAACAGTCAGAAGTACATTGAACTTGAGACAGAGAGGGTGACAAGGGCAAGAGTGGCTCATCTGCTTTAGTTTCAGGTAAATTAAATCCTGGTTATGCTGAATACTAATTAAATGATCAGATTCAGTCTTTCAGCTGAGTAACAATCAATCAAAAGGCCCATGCAAATAGCTAAAGGTTAAACTGTTAAATAAATCTGAGCTTAGGACTGTTGGTGAGATGTTCATGGCCCACAAAAGGTACAAATAAAAACATACATCTTATAACAAGAGGCTGCAAAGGTTGAAAAGTTAATATGGAAAAGAAAAAAGAAAAGGAACACGTCCCCTCCACCCCAGTGAACTCAAAGTTGAAAGACATCACAGAAAAGCAGCTACGAGAGGCCAAAATCCTTTGACCCCGGACGAACAGATTGACTTTTCATTAGTAACTGTAAACCCATAGCAGTGATGAGGAGGCTGAGATCTGGACAAATGAAGGGACAGGGAAATGTTAGCCCCACCCACCCGCCCACCCAAAACAACAGTCCCACCGAAGATCTCCACTTGATGAGATACAGAGGCAGACTGTCAGGGAATCAAGGCCATATGAGAGATGGGGTCTGGGGTGGAATGAAAAGCGAGTGATGAAGGAAGCAGTACTCATGGTACAAGAAAGGATAAATTAATCAACGATCGAGTGAGGAAATATATTCTGCACGCAATTAGTTTAAATAAGAAAGGAGAAAGGTGACAACACTTTACCTGCTGGAGAATGAAGGTTTTCATAGTGGCAAAGATGAGGGCAACATTACAAAAAGCAGCACAGAGACACGACAGTAACCCAGCCTGGTACTCAACTTCAACCTCTGACCATCACATACTGCAGTGTGATACTGGAAGTCGTATTTTGTGACTTCTTCCTAGAAATGTAAACGGTGCACTGACCCTTCACACTCCTGCTCACTACTGTCTAAAACATGGAAGCAGCCTGAACTATAACACAAACCTCTTTGCTTTATTCTCTCCATTAGGCTGTTTTTTTTAAATTAAGCTATTCGATAAATGTCTAAACAATGTGTTTTTCTGATTCTATCAGAGCAATGGAGAAGTGTAAGAGCTAAAACTACTTCTTATGCTTTGCTTAAGTTCAATTAATGATTTTAATTTTCTAGGATACCTAACAAGTAACCGCACATCTAGGTGAAACATTTGTAACTGTTGCCCAATATTATTCATTTACGAGTCGAGTCTTGTTGTGTCTGATACTTGCTACTAATTTCAGACTAAATCTTTTACGGATTACGCAGGAAAACATTTAAAAATATATTTATTATCCAATGCTCTTAAAGGTTAAAGCCAGTTGCATTCTATATCTTTATCCTACTGAAGATGTTTCATATTTTAAAATGGCTAAACAATTTCCTATAAGAATCTATTTTGTTTTCCCTAAAATGGCGACTTGTAGATGTGATCCAATCCTCATGTTTTAAATTTTAAAAGTAATTTACAATAAGTTATGCATCGACCCCTACCACAAGAAGTGACATCGATTCTTATGTTGGAACGTTTTCATTTGTGCACAAAAGGCAGCTGGACTCATACTCCTGTTGTTACACTGACTTATTTCTCTCACCAGCTCTCTGTCCCTCTTTGTCAACTAAATGAAACGTCACTTGCTCTAAACGTCAGTGGTGCCATGTGACTGTAAGAAAACCACATGCTCTGAAGAATTCATCACTCACTTAATCACCTACAGGCATCAGTGTCTCAGTGTTCCTTGAGGAGAGCGAGTATCCAATTTAGTGAAACCTTATTAGCTCTCGTCAATATATTTGCCATGAAGCTGAGTTACTGCCGTGCCAAGTACAGGCCTAGAATCAATAGATGGTGTAATTACCAAATTCCTCCAGGACAAAGACTCCCTTCACTGTATTGCACTTTTTAATGTGACTCAGCTCTATGAAAACCTAAAAACAAACAAAAAAACAAACAAAACAAGACACAACATTATTAACTCAACAACACTGGATGAAAAGTAAACACTTCATATTTAAAAATTAACCAGGTTAAACTTGTTTTATTCAGTATGAAAGATAAAAAAATAAAAACAACTACACACGGAATGCAAGCTTTTAACAGCTAACGAAAGAAAAGAAAAACACACTATGAGAAGTTTCCATGATCAAACGCATACATGGGCGACGGTTAAATGAGAAGAAATGCATTTAGTCTGCTCAAAACTAATTCCACATGACTTGTTTCATCAATGAAGTATATCAGAACTGGAACATTTATAGTTATTTGGATGTAACCAGCAAAGGTAGTTTAAAAAAACATTTATTTTTATGCTCAGTGATGCATTCTGGCCCATATGATGCATACATGGAAGTTCCATATAAAATGTAGACAAGGACACAACTAGATTTGCCATACAGCTACAACAGTTAAAAGAAAAGATAGAGAAAACAAAAGGAACCCAATAAGATGTAACTGCTAATAAGCAAACACAGCAGAGGTTGTGTACCTTCCGCTCCTTGCAGGGGGAGAGAGCATGGGAGAGAAATGGTTTGGATTATTATCGGACAGAAGAGCACAAGCACTCAACGACACTCCGAGAGGGCGCTATCCACAGGAGCCTCGTACGGATTCAAATCAAGAATCTAGCTAAGAAGTTAACAGAGCCAATCTGAAAAACCCTTCACAAGAGGAATCAGCCCAAAAACTAAAAAAAATAGGAGAGAGAGAGAAATAAAAAAAGAGGACTAGAGGTTTGACTAAGGTATTGAGAGCTGGATTCACCTTTGTATTCCTGGACTTAAATCATCTCAGTCCCCCAGAGCCCTCCATGCCTCCTCCTCCAGCAACAAGGGCTGGCACCAACACTACTTGCTTACACAGCAGAACAGATAAATAAGGGCAGTCACTGATGGACAGTAAATCCCTCTATGATGTAGGATGTCACCTCTGACACCATCTCACTGCCGAGCTGCCCAGGACCCAACCCAGTGCTCACTCTCTATAATACTATAAATTTAATAAAGTCTTACGAGTGGCATCCAGTGCTGAATAAAGCTCCTGCTGAGGGTTTGGTTAAACTGTTTTACTCCAAAAATGTGAAACTATTTGTGAGGACATTTCAGCTGACCTGCAAATACTCCCAAACTAAGTGTACCAGAAATGCCAGTGAAAATCGTTCATTCTAGAAATGCGGTGCTCTACATTGGGAATCTTTGAGAAGCTTATCTCTTAGGTTAATTGTTTTCAGCTTGAATGGAAATGAAAAATGTGGCACCCTACCCCTTGCAATACAAAGAGCAAACATTCTACTTGAAAGAGCCTGAGGCAGAAAAAAGCAGAAGCAGCAAGGAAAAGCAGGCAATAATCATAACAACATCCAAGTAAAAGGGTCGGTTCACCCAAATTATAAAAATACATTATATCTGGGCAAGCAGAAAGTTTTCATTTTATAATGGAGATTAATGGAATATTTTGTGATGCTCACAGCAACGAAAATATGTTTAAACCTGCACTGACTGCAGAAACAAGCTATAAACACAACACACAATCACCTTTTAGTAGTTAAGTAGTAATTAATAGTTGCTTATTTACACATCCAGCAGACACAATTCTTAACATTAGCATTAATTTGGACTTTCTGTCGATGAGATAAATGGCAGTCCAACATTCATCCTCCTTTTAGCTCGTTGCACTCTCAACCAACTCCTGAGGGAAATATCTGTCTCTTAAGCTGCTAAATGCTCCTATATGTTCACTATATGTTCTGCCATTTGGAGGTGGACAGGTAGTGTACAGTGGATTTGGAGCTTTTTCACTGAAGAGAGCTGCATGCTGTGGCCTAAAACAACGCTACGAGAGCACTGAGAGTGAACCAAAACAGTAAAAATTGTGGGCCACAAAATCAAAACAATGAGCTAAAAGACTGAAACAGTAAATGTAAAAAAAGTACACATTTCTCACATTTGGTTACTGATTTTCTCTCAAAGGACAGCATAGTAGTGCTACACACATTTACAGAGCAGATGTGTATGCTGTAGCAGAAAAATAAGCATTTAATTTCAGTTGGAAGTATTTGTTTGGTGGAAAGGATTTCCAATGAAAACTCTCCGCAGTGAGGTCTATCCAGAGTAAGCAGGATATATTTGCTGTTAAATACCTGAAATTAAGTTTGGTGAACACCACAAATGAGACTCCATTCACCTCCATTGTATCAGAGACAAATATCTCAAATCCTGGACTGCATTCAACCAAAACTTTGTGCAAGGCTAGATACAACTAGAGCTGAAGTGTCATTTTGGTTAACTGACTCTTCAAATTACTTTTGCTGTTGAGAAATCAGTTTAAAGATGCTGGATGTCTCATGAGGAATATTGCTGTTCAGTCTTTTTTTTACACTTTAGTAACACCTCACATATTCTTTTTGTTGATTTTAAGATGCTCAAAATGTACAAAGCATCTGCTAGCTGCAATGGGTTTCTGGATCTTTTCACTTCACAGACTATTCTACAGCACATTGTTCAATCACAGCTTGACATTCTAATGAACCTGAAGAAAAATACAAACCCCGACTGTGACTACCTACGCAGATGTGAAGACAACACATGACGATGTTCAAGGGTCCAAACTTAAATGTGAAAGTTGCTATTAAATAGCCAATTATTAATGAAAAGTCTTTGCTCAAGGTCATCCGTCTTATCACTGATGCGCAACACACGCATTAACACTTCTCCTCCCACACAGTAAATGAACAATGAGGTTTGAGCACCATGGATGAAAAAATAAAAAATAAAATAAATACTTGTGTGGAAGGATGTGTTAATATTTTGGGAAATGCATGCATATGAACACACAAACAAATAGAAAAAAGCAAAAAAAAAAGCAAAGGCAAAAACAGAAATTCTTCCTCTAAAGGGAAACAATCAGGCGTGAGTAAATGCTAATCAAACATGTTGTAAGTCACCACCAACATTTTGGCTAAGATTTATTTTTAATGACAATAGAGGAAGACGTCACTAGATGAAAGGAAATGAGGCAAACAGGAGAGATGAGCAGAAATGCGGACAGAAGTACGGGATGAACGCTTCATCATGAGTGATTATTATTATTTTCATGCCCTTGTGTGAGATGAGAAGCAGTCTCTGCTGTGGTACTGGCCTCTTACCTGGCTGTGCATGAATTTAAGGTTGATCCCTTCCAGTGTAACCTGCAGCAGTCCACCTTCACCAGTTTTCATGTCCTGGACAGGGAACTCTCCACCCAGCTCTGGACCTGAAGGGGAAAAAAAAAATAAAAAAAATGGTGCACACTGTTGGGACGTGGGGCAGAAACGTCTTCTTTCTTTCGTTGTCTTAAACTGACTCCAAAATAAGACTTTAACAGAAAATAAAATCACAACACTGAACAACAGGGGTGTAATGGTGCTTGTATTCTTCCCAAACTGTTTATTAGGGTACGTCTGGGTCGATATGCATCTAATTAAACTTAAATTAGGTCTTGTTTTATTCACATTAAATTTGTCTTCTGGTCTTTTGTAATAACAATGTTTTGTTATTGATCAATTAACAATTTAATGTTTCCTGTTTTCAAAGAAAATGGCCTGTCTTGACCCTGCCGTAGCAAAAATATTTGAGAAAACAAGGCTCTCTCTCTCTCCCTCTCCCCTTCACCCCCAACCGGTCGAGGCAGATGGCCGCCCACCCTGAGCCATGGTTCTGCTCGAGGTTTCTGCCTCTTAAAAGGAAGTTTTTCCTTGTCTCTGTCGCCTAGTGCTGCTCTTGGTGGGAACTGTTGGGCTTCTGTAAATAGCATCATAGAGTATGGTCTAGACCTGCTCTTTTCAACTGTTGTTGTGATTTGGCGCTATATAAATAAAATTGAATTGAAATTGAATTGAATACTGTTGCTCCCCTAAATCAACAATCAAAATTCTCAGCAGAAGCTACGGCATCCCTGATAAGACTGATAAAGACTAGTTGGTTATAAATGTTGAGAGGGCAGACTGGACAGCCATTTTTGAGAAAGCCAGAAAGAAAGAAAAAAGAGCAAAATTAGGCAACAACCAAACTCACTCACTCCATACCTGGTTTAATACTTTGCTGTCTTGCTGCAGCTCTTTCCATACTGTCTTTAACACAGTAGTAGAGTTCCCGACACTAAAATGCAAAGAGAGAAGTTGTTTGAATTTCTAACCAATGTTCTCCTCAAGTGAATAAAAGTACAGGATGTAGAGAGATGCAGCTTCTGACCTTTTTGGTATAAAACTTATTGAGCTGCGTCTCTTGGCCGTTGCGTCTCCAGAGACACAGCACCTTGGTCTTGGGGCAGTAGGTCATGTTGATGAGCTTCTCGTACCACCAACGCTCGTAAACTGTGCCGATGTTGCTGCGCAGGACTATACAGTCATCGCAAACCTGAAACAAAGATTCAAGATTCACATTATAAAATAAATAACAATATGATCTCTACTGTACTACTGTGTGAGCACTGAGGAAAGTTACAGATATTTTGAGATAACTTGACTTATACTGCTTCCATGAGCTCAATTTGTAGTATCAGGAATTACACATAGTCAAGACTTTGTGTACCTCCATGAAAAAGATGTCTCCTGTGGTATCAGTGCCAGCATGTACAACAAATGTTTGCTTCTTGATGTGGCGGCTTCCGCTGGGCCTGATGGGCAGCTCACGGCCGTTCTAAAAAAATACAAGTCAGTACAAATAATTACAAAAGGATGAATAGAAATTGAGCTAAATTAATTAAAAACAGAGATTTTCACCATTTGGGGCAGTTTGTCCAGTATCTCGTTGATCTCTTGGCTGTATGAGAGGCCAATGTGGGACTTCCCCATCAAACGCCTCACTTTCTTTCTGATGTCATTTTTGTTCAACTAAACAGACAAACACATCCACAAGGAACAAAAGTTGAGATATCTGGAGGTTAAAGAAAAACTCAAACTCGGCATAGATCATCAAACAATTATGTTGTCCTATAATTAAAATAACAAACAGGCCTCCGTACTTTTAACATTAGCATATATGCAATCATATTGTGCAGCAGGGTGGCCAGAAGTCTGTCTTCATCATCCTCCAGACGCTTGCGGTCGTGTTCTCCTAGCGACAAGTATCTGTGTTGATAATAAAAAACACACACAGAAAAGCAAGTATTTATAGTCCAGGACCAGAATTACAAAGTTATTGCATCTAGTAAAAAAAAGAAATCTGTTGCTACATGGCAAAAAAATAAAAAAATAAAAAAGAAATCCGACAGTATGAGTAACGTCAGCCATACTGAACCTTTCAATCATCTCCTGGGGTCCCTGGTCCATACCCATGCCCTCACGCTCTAACATCACAGCATCTAAGTAGGCGTCCTCCCAGAACTGCATCTGGTCCCACAGTGTGGAGCGCTCTTTACCTGAAAACAAGGAGAGAGTACACATGTAGCTACTAAAATGTGCAAAGGTTGACAGTTTCATCAACAACACAGCTGATCCATTCAAACACAACCCAAACCAAAGCACACATTCCTTCATACCAGCCAAATTAAATCCTCTCAGACACATTATCACCAAAATAACTCTATTTCTATTTATGAGCAGATTCTCCAATACAAATTATATCCAACTACTGTTTGCATTTCCACGTTGCTTTCTACAGCTTTCAACAGCTTGTTATAACTGACAACAGTTACAACAAGGTTTCGGCAAGTATTGAGGTATTGATATTGTAACATTTTACTGTAGCTTTGAGCATGAACAAGCAGTTTATAGTCATGTGTGAGAACAACAGTAAGTACAATTACACACAACCCTGACAACTAACAGCTCCAACAAAACCTTAACTTTTGTTGTTTTGCACAATTTTTTTAATCAGCAAATTTTATATGTATAGAGGTGTCTGATTCTGTTTTAAGTGCTGGTCTTTTCAACCTTCCTGGAACCACAAGTTAAAGGTGGGGTAAGTGATTCTACTTCATTAAGCGTCTTTCTGTCAAATTCAGCCATTATCTCCTCTAAAAAAAATCTAGTACAGTATCTTGTACACAACCCTGGCTTTGTAAATGGGAAACAAAAAAAGTGGCCTGCACCCCGCCACACAACACTGTTCCAGCCATGATTTCTGTGTCAGGTAACGTTACATCAATTGGCCACGGACATTCAGCTTACTTTCCAGATTACAAGACATGCTGTTGTTGTGATGTTAGCTATAGTAGCAGGAGAGTTGTGAGTATCACTGTCTAGAGCTGGTGCGCTGGCTCTGGGAAACTGTCTCGTCCTCTCTGCATGTTAGCTTTGCAGCACTGTAGCAACAGCTTGATAACACACAACCTCGCTAACGTTACATTACTTGCTGTGTCATTGTTTGCTCTATATCATGTTTTTTGAAATTTGGATTGGATTCCTCCAGAATCATTTACCCCACATTTAATACGGACTGAGGAGGACAACGTTATTGAAACCAAAAATGCACAACTTTAAGCATAAAAGAAATAACACAAATCATCTTGATCATCAATCATCTCAAGATGCAAAAGAAGAAGAATAGTGGCTGAGCCAATTTCATTTTCCCTACCTCTATCACATGTAAGTAACTCATTGGAAAACTTGATATTTCCCAATCTTGTTAACCAGCTGGTGGCTCATTTGAGTGTGCTCAACTCATTATTACATTTCTGACAGCACTCGAAGGCAACATGCACTCATCTAGTATGCAAACCCATGAAATGTTAAGCTTTTAGGTCAACATGAAAGTTAGTCAGAAAACTGGGTGAAAGATGTTGGTGGGTAGAAATTAAAATAATGTTGACAGTGAACGAACATCTCTCTCTCTCACACACTCTTCCACACAAACCTGTCTTTGATATCCCTGTGAGGCAAATTCTGCAGGATAGCTTAAATTTTCCACCCCATCACATGTTAAAAAACACATAGATGTCCAGCTCACCAACGGACAGGAAAAACCCACATCACATCAAAGATTAAACACAGAGCTAGTCCGTATGAACAATGGATGCATTCCTCCCCAACCTCCCACACACACACACACCCACACAGGAAAAAGAAAAAAGCAAGATGTTAGCCCTACTTAGAGAAAAGGTTTCCATGGCAGCATCCTCTAGTTGATCCCAAACGGAGCTCTTATCGCGGCCTGGAAGAATTTCCCAGGAGGAGCAGCAGGAGGAATGAGAAGCAGCGAGAGCAGGAGGGGGTTAGGCGAAGAGGTGAGTAGGTTTAATGGTACAACAAGAGCAGAGCGAGCAGAGAACCACACCAGAGGAACCATAACAAGGACAAACAAAACATACCAGGTTCATTTACTCACTTATTTATAGCCAACAGCACTTATACACAGGATGTCATTGTTCAAAATATAAATGTTTTGCACAGTCAATTAGATGAGCAGTAATTCTGTGGTTTGTGGTGAAGATGCTGTATGTTTATGATCTGTTTAAATACAACATTGACTTTAAGTCCTTATTGTTTTTACATCTTTAAAGATTAACTTAGGTTAAATTAAATCAATTTTGTTTTGCAAATATACAATCACACACTACTAATTAATTTGCAGAAGCTGCAGTCATGACTTACAATAGTGCAAATAAATATCTAGTATTCAAATTTTTTTCTATTTTCTTTCCATTCCTTTAACGTTTATTCTGTTTTCACATGCATGCACATGTTGCCAAACCTCTCAGACAGCAGCAACTTTCCACTTCACTCAGTAGTGCTAATTCAACACTATGTAAAATTGGACAATCACATTATGTAAAGTTGCTTCACAAAACAAACATCAGTGTACAACCTTTCACCTTTTAACATGTTAAGTTCACTGTTACGTAATAAACATTTGACATTACTGTAATCACATGTCTGACTTCTGCTTCCTGCTCTTAAAAATAAGTCTTTTCATGATTAGTGAAAGTTCACCGTGGTTACATTAAAAGGAAAACCAAAGCACGAGTTTGCACCAGTTGGAGTGAGGTCACAATATCCACCAACACTTTCCTTACATTAATGTAAGTACCCTTTAATATTTCCAGTTGTTAGGCTCAAAAAAATTTCTTTAAAAAAAACCAACAAAAGTGTTCAAGTAATGCAGAATAATCTCATACTTAGCAGAGTGATTTGAGATTTATAAGTGTTTTTTGGGAACAGTGGAAGGAAATGTTTTTTGAAACATCAGAATGTCCGCTGTTTGACATAACTATAAGAGGAAGCAAACTAGAGAGCAGAACATACCCAGAAGGCCTTCACAAAGGTAAATCCTCATACTGATGTCCTCCACATGCTGCGCAGGCGCACCCTTTGCCATGGTATGTGCATGATCTTTTGCACTTGGTTTCAGAGTGTGGGTCTTTCCCTGTGGAAACAGGTCAACATCATGTTTGTAATCCAACAGCTAGTACCAATGACCCAAAATTCTATTTCATGTATTTTGAGTATTGGTGCATCCGTTTTTGTCCTATTTTCATCATTTGACCTATGTTGCATACTGTAGATTATCCAGGTCGAATACTATTATCCGTAGGATAGTCTGGTTCTGAGAATACTACTCAACTCAATGGCTTGTCTGTTAGGACAAATGAACAAAGGCTGACGAGTCCCAGTCCCTTCTTTTAATAAGGAAGTTTTGTCTGACAACAGGAGAAAAGTCCAAACCTACTAATGTAACAACTTAACCACTACTAAATATTTTTACACAGCAATTAACAAATCATAACACTATTAAAGATAGAAATGTATTCTCAAACTATCCAACAAAGCAAAATTACACGTTGTTTACCCAGTTCAAACTATTACTAATCACTGTGGGATCTCAAAGTCACCACAGGCGAGCAATGCTTCCAGCTAGTCTATGAGACTCCTGGTCTGCTCCTCAGTGGGAATTCTCTACAGACAGATGCCTACATAGAAGGGCCGTAGAACTGATTTCAACACCTCTTCCTGCCTAACTTGATGGTCGTAGGCCAGGAGAGGACAGTTGGAGTGAGAGGGGATTTTTCCACATGTACAGCAGTGTTTAGAAATGTAAACAAATGTTGCTAATTTAAAGTATTCTCACACACACACCAGTTCATTTTTGGCAAAAGAAAAACACAACAACAATTTCCCAGCACATTAAACCTTCAGGTGTTTTTAAGTAGTGGAAAACTAGTCTGCAATCTCTCAGTTTTCATGGTATAGATGGGAATCCTGAAATCCAATCAACTTAAGGCAGAGTTTTTTAAGTAATTCATGCCACGTTCAAATGGAGTAAGTTTGTAATGAAATTGTCTTATTTTAAGATAGTTATTATCTAAAGTAAGACATAGTAGAAGTAAGAACTGTATCATATACATATTTCACTCAGAGTGATACATACAAACACTTGGCTGGTGGCTGGATTGGTTTCAATCTCACTGTCAGAAAGAGTCCCTCTGGACTGATTTAAGTGAAGAGCAGTTCTCCCACCAAGGCCGTCTCCTGCTGTGCTGCTCAGGTCACTGTCAGCGCCGAGAGTCTCTCCAGAGCTATTGCTTATCTGAAAAATTTAAATTCCAGGTGTAAGAACAATACACGAGTGGTGCTTCACATGCAGAAGGTTTGGTATAAAAGAACCTTTTGGCATTCATATTAATAGTTTGATAAAACAGTTTGAAATAATCTTATTCCACACAGTCTGACAGCATCACACATATGTATATAGTGTATCCACCACAGTATTTTAACGCAAGACTCCACATTTTTAATAGTTGCACTATTCAGTCATGTCTTGTGCATAATTTCTTTTTAGAAATTCTTTGCCCCTTGCCCATTTAAAACCTCTACATGGTCTGAGGACTGACGTCATCAATAAAGTGAGTAGAAGTAATAGACAGTGTGTGGAATTTTTTTTCTTATACAATTCCTCAAAATTCAGCCTGACAAATTTGGTCAGGTTTGAAAAATGTTTGTTTGCTATTTCCAATAAACCCAAAGCATTAAAAGCTGTATATACATATGCTGATATATGCAATAATCCATAACCCAAACATAACAAACATGGGTGGTGATGGCGCAATGAATAAGACACATGCTTTTGGTGTTAGAGACCTGGTTTCAATTCCCCACAGTGACACATCCACCAATGTGTCCCTGAGCAAGACACTTGACCCCTAGTTACTCCAGAGTCGTGTGACCTCTGACATATATAGTTTTTGTAAGTCGCTTTGGATAGAAGCGTCAACTAAATTAATAAATGTATAACGTACATTTACCAACCTCACATTTCAAAAACAAAGGGGAACTATAAATGATTTGTCCAACTTGTAAACAACACACGGCTGAAGTCCACTTTTGCATCTATGCTGTAACTGATGTGAGCCTATGCGTTGGTGTCTCCATCGCTCTGCAATTGCACTGACATAATGCTAGTTCGCAATGGGGTTTCTATGTTCTACTGTGTTGAGTTTCTTCTTCTTCATTGGTGCAGCCCACTATAAACAATAGCAAATTAAACTAAGCGGATCATGTTTGAGTTGGAGCTGATCGATGTTCAACAGCAGTTACTTTTCCTGAAATTACCAAAACAAAAATAAGAGAAGGTGTCAGAGATGGACTGTACGACCCTTGAATCGGTTCAGGCAGAAGGACAAACTTGAACTGCATAAGAGGAATTGCAATGCTACCAAGCTGACCACTCATGGTTCTTGCGGTCTGCGTCGCCAAAAAGTGTAGTTAGATTTTTGGAGAGGTGTGCGTCAGGCAATGACATGGGCTACGGTGTAGGGTACGTGACTATGCGTAAGCTTCAGCATCTATTCGACGAAGAAGTATAAACTGGCTTTAACAATATGCCACCCACATTTTCATGTTTTATTTAAATACAAGGAAAAATACTTTAAATGGTTTGGACCAAAAATATCATCCTGGAATCTACAATTAATATTGTGAAGTACTGTGTAGGTGTGGAATAGATAGGAATAAAGTGCACAGTGTCTAAGTTGGATGTGCCCTACCACTGTGCTGGCCTCCGAGTCCTGGCTGGTGCTTCTCGTCAGGACTGGTGGCTCTGAGCTTGTTACAGACTCTGTGTCGCTCTTCTATAAACCCAAAGACAAAAAAAAAAGGACAGAATTCACTGGTAAAAATGTGCTGCACCATGAGCAGTTTTTAAAATTCAAAAACTAGCACCATAGATTGAAGGATGAATATAAACTGGACACTGATGATCAGTTTCAGGCCCACCTATTGTGTGTGCAGCCTGCAGCCCTTGTTTGACTATGATAGTAGTTTATTTAGCATCACACAAACAGACATGCAGCTCACCCAGCTATTAACCAAAGTTTTAACATTTTTTTTCAAGTTGTCACACAACACCACTCCATGAACAAACCTGAGAGCCAGATGTGACACTGAGGCCACTATCAGCACTGATCTGTGACTTCTTCTCCTCTGCATCAGCCACCTGGGGGCGCTGCTGCTTTGCTCCTTCAGACCCTGCAGGACAGACATGATTAATAAGCATGTTGGCATGAATGGCACGATCTTCTTGCCTTACTGATAGTCGCCTCACTCAAAGCCACCACAGCACAGCAACACTGACGCTAAAGTGCCAAAGCCTCTATTTAAACACTGCATTACACTTGTGACACAGCAAAGCATACAGTAAAACACTACCTTATTCATGTTTGTAAAATGATTTGAACATCTAAGACTCAGAGTTTTAAGCTGCCTCTAGCTAAAAATACAGGGTAACTATAATACATCTAATCTAAAGATGCAAGAAAAATTGCTTCATTACACAACTTTCTGTATATAATACTGGTGCTTCACTGAGTAGTAACAGATTACGTTTTTACAGACCAGACAGAGAAGTTACAAAAGGGGCAAGCAGAAAGCGCCATAAAATTGGGGAAAATGTTACAAATGAAAACAAAACTGCAAGAGCGCGACATTAATTCTCAGTCAATGCAGCAAAGGTGGCTCAAGTTACACCAAAAACAAACAAACACAGGCAGTTAGGCATGCAAACAAACGATGGACGGTAAAGGAGACATTTTCTTGTACTTATTTGTTTATCGCCTCAGTAGGTGCAGACATGGTGATGAGTAGATCCTGACATTTCACTGTTTTTAGGTTTTTTATGATACCTTTGTAAACCATTTAATAAAGCCTTAAAATCTGCTGGCAACTGTGGAATATTAGCTGTAAATACATAAATTTACAGCAAGCCACTTGAAACTGGAAAAAAAAAAATGCAGTTAAAAGAGCAGGACAGGGCAGGTATTCATTTCTGCTCATCTGGATGCATGGTGTCAAAGGGGGAGGACACACTGGGAACAAAATGTCATCTTAAGCCAGTGACTATAACAAAAAAATTCCCACAATTTTTTATGTCAAGGACCCCAAGACAGTCCACATCAGTAAACGTGTGATTTTATTTTAAATGTTGCACAGAATTGAATAATGTACTTCCCTAAACTGTAGGCAGGGAAGGAAAAAAAAGGTTAAAAAAACCCAACTTTTTTTACAATACTACACTCCAGCATGTGTTGGCTTTTACAGTATGTTCTACATCCCAGCTTATATTATTACTGTATTATAGTAAAACTAGCATACTGTATTAATGCCTGCTGGAAGAACTTACCAAAACATACTAAAACTGGCTGCCATCTGATGTCTTGATTAAGCACAACATGACATTTTAGAACTAAAAACAAGCGTGTCATTTCACACAGCACTACACTTATGTGAAGTTATTTGACCTTAGTTGCCAAATAGCAAATACAGAAACTTTAATACCACTACTGGATACCAACCAACACTACTGCAACAGATCCAGTGTCATGTGCAGAGTATCTCAACCCTGATGCACGTTATTTGTAGTGCATAATCAATCCAATGTAAAAATCAAGACTCTTATGCCAATATTTATTCATTCTGACATTATTAATAGGAGCACTCCTTCTGATTTATTTATTTTCTTGTAGAAAGACACTGGTGAGTTTGAAAAGGTGGGGAGAAGGGGGTAGAAAAAGGTCAACAGCTGAACACCCCAATCTTTTTACTTTTTTTTTTTTGGTGTGTGAAAAGTCTCTTACTCTGTGGTTTTTCCATAGCTTTTTGCTTATCCTGGTGCTTGCTCCACAATTCTACCCAAGATGCATTGCAAGCAAGGAGAGAAAGACAGAGAGAGAATCAGAGAGCTGGTTGAAAAGGCATGTATGGCGGATGAGCATTAAAATCAAAACAAAAACAAAATAAGCACTGAGATTCTGTCATTATTGAATGATGGTGTTTTGTAATGTTTGCATGTAGCTGTGATTTAATCTGGACATAATGAAAAAAGTATTTTGCTGTCAAGTTGGATCCACTGCCTATAACAGCTACTAAGGTAACATTACAACACACCCAAAGCTACCGGCCCAAAGTCCTGGAGAGCCACACAGTGAAGTCAGAATGAGCTTTGGCTCTGACCACAGGCCACAGATGTCATCGATTGCATTTGTCTGGCTCTCCAGAGCAACGGTGAGAGAGAGAGATGGCTGATCTGAAAAGAGCATGGGATGGGGTTGAGAGGCCGACTAGCCAGCAAGTGAAATGGAGCAGTTGCAGAAGCAGGGATGCTCACAGTCTCACAGCATTCTGTAGAATTGAAGGTGCAACTTCTAACAGGAAAAGAAGGGGTGCAGGTAGGAGAGGTGTCAGGGTGGTTGACTGAAAGTGTCCCCCGTATACAGACCCAGAATAATTCTCAAAAAATTAAGTGGTAAAGAGATTCTTAAGGATTTTCTAAGTCAGATGGTTCTTTGGCAACCAATAGAAAACACTTTCTGCAGTGAAATTAGTCTCTTTACTGGGACTGTTTACTGGGGAGTGATGCTTCCACCCTCCATGCTGAGAGCAAAGGGAGCTGCCATTTTCTAAAGCACGCCTCGCAGAAACCTGCAGTAAAGGCAAAGACGAGCGCAGATTTGACTATTGATGCGCATACCTCTGGTTTCCCTCGTCCACTACTGCAGATTTAGGTATTGGAAGACCAAAACAAAGACATGCATTCAAGGTGCTAAGACAACAGAACTCCAGAGAGTAGGCAAACGGGCACAGATGCTTAAGGAAGGGGAGACAAACACACGCAGTCCAGCCTGGAACACAGGGAAATATTCCAAACACTTTTCAAGGCTGCTTCATATCTACAAGGGGAATATTTTAACCAGGGCCAAATACTGAATTTTTTCATTTTATTATTTTTTTCATTTTTGAAAATCATTACCAAACACAAATACAACTTTAGTATTTGGTATAAGATCTCAAGAATATAGACTTTTTAAAAAGTCCACTCCAGTGATTATCACCAGTATTTCATGTCAAAGTGTGTGGAATATTATAACACCTGTAAGAATCTGTCTGGGACAAGTGAAGGGATCTTTCTTTGAGACGGTTGGAGGAGGGGGTGGGATACTGGTATTAAGGTTGATGAGCTTTTAGGGTATGGGGTTTGGGATCTCACGGTGCACATGCAACCGGGGCTGGAGTGGTGTACACACCAATCGAGGCAATAAAGTTCTCCTCGTTCAGACTCCGGGTATCAAAATGGCGGGCTCCTCTGCCCATTGTGTGGTGCGGCAGCTGCAGGTGTGGAACATTCAGAAGGCCCTGAGGTCTGGCAGTCTCCATATGGCCAGAAGGACTCTCTTTACTCCCTGGGCTGCCAGCACTGTCTGTGGGGCTTCGCTTGCGCTTTTCTGGGTCTACCAAGTTCCCAAAATGAAGGGGCCACAGACAGAGTTCATCAAAATTACAGAAGAAAATATGGAGGTTTAAACTGGGAGGGGATTAACAGTATTAGACAAAGAAGGAAACACAGTGATCTAATGTTTTAGTAAGACAACTTCTAGCATGAAGCTTAAAGCTTTATATAAACACAATGCAAAGACATGAACTGGGTTAGTAGTAGCATAGGCTCACTGCTGTTACGCTTCTCAGTGCAAAAAGTCTTTTAAAAATGAACTGACAAAATGTTAAAAATCTACATTGTTTACATCACACAATCCAGTATGAAATGTGTGCATTCCTGTGCTAAACATGTAGGACATACCTTTGGTTTGATAATGTGTGCGTGCAATTTCCAATAAACTGAAGACACTGGCCATTCCTCCGAGACCTGCATTAGTGTAAGAGTGCTCCAGACTGGAAACTGTGCACTTCAAGATGTCCAGCATGCCTTTGTACACCTTTCTGCTCACCTCCTGAAAACAAAACACAGTAACAAGATTGATAATGATTTCAACAAGATAAAAAACAAGCAACACTACCAGCCCCACGGTCTAAATAGATTATGATCTGAGACGAATTAGTGATGTTGGGCTAAAAAAGCTGACTTGATCTTGAATTAAGTTTTCAGTCAAAGTCATTATGCAAGTTCTTGCAGTGAGACTAGACAGCGACCAACAGTGTTGTTATTGTTAATTACCAAGTAATGTGCCTACTACTACTAAACTGGCTGTTACTGAATAAAACCAGCAACATAACAACTTATAACATAAATTTGCTGAACAAAAAATACAAAATACCTTGAATGAAGAAAAGAAATATCTCAAATTAGCAAACCACCCAACCTAATTTACTTTAATGGTCCAAATGTTTACTTTGGCTTTGTGTATTTCTTGGCACATCATTTTACAGTGTGGAGGGCAAAAAACAAATATCTCACCACATCACGTATGATCTCCTGTCTGGCATCTTCCTCTGACTGGATAGCTCTGTTAAGCTTACTCAGCACAAACACACGAAGCTGCTCGTTCTCCAGCAGACGTCGGACTTTCTTCATGTTGAGCCAGCCGACTCCCTGACCATCCAGAACACTCTGAACCACCTCCTTCAAGAACTGCTGATTCTCACTAAATCAAAACAACACAGTTTCATTCAAATTCAACAGATGGAAGTACCTTAACAACACTTGATAGGGATCATATTTGTCACCTTGAAACCCAACATATTGCCAAATGGAATACATCTCACAACAATGTGGTCTAATCTTACCTCGTGTTGTTGACTCGACCCTGAGGAGAGGGCGATTCTCTCTTCACTGTTGGACTGTGCTTAATTACTGAAGACTTCTGGTCCACAAGTGCTCGTGGTGCACGTGCACCTGGAAGAAGAAGCAAAACTATGAAGTTTCTGAAAACCACAGAGCACGATAACCAAAATAACAAAACAAAAACTGCAAACTACTAGGTCACTAAAAAGAAGGGCACTCAGTAGAAGTGGACTGGACACAGACAAAGGCACTTGCTCACCAGGAACTGTAAACCAGGACAACAAACAACTTTCAAACTAGTCATTTTTAAGCTACCACATCAAATAGAAAAGAAATCAGTTTACATCGCCCTGTAAAGAGGACAGACACACCTGGAATCTACTGAAGGTTATCTACTGCTGAACAGACAAATTAATGGAGCTACTAGAGTCTATTATTACAACAAGAGAGTTGAAGGACAAATTAAACAGGGACATGATGCACACACACACACACACACACACACGTCCAAATGGTGCTCTTGGTGGTGGCATCACACTTTAGCAGCATAGAGATGTGAGGTCAGACAGAGGATAGTGTGTACAAGAACTACATGAGTGATATCATGCATGATAGAAAATAAAGGACTGAGTGGAAGGCAAGAAAATGAGCTACACTACAAGCTGACGCATTTAAATACATTGCTGCAATGCTGTGGGAATCTTGGTAACTGCTAGTTAACCACTTTGTCATCTGAGAAACATTCGCTGCAGAATCCATTTGTTGAAGAGAGAGGGGAAAAAAAGCTGTGTTGAGGTGGGATCCAAACCTCAACCCTTAGGTTGTAAGTCCTGCTCCTTACTGACTGAGCAAACTGAATACATGTTGATGTAAGTCATTATTATGGCTTATATTCTCATCCATGATCTAATGGTTGAAAATATTTCTCAGATTCAAAACTTATTCGCGGACCCCCGCTGTATATTATTACTACTACTACTTCTTCTAACGTACTTATTCAATAGGGATGAGTGTCTGCACTGCCTGAATTCTACCAAAAGTAGAACAAGAAGAACGTAGTGACGAAACGCGCTCTGTAGCGCCGTTTGTCCGTTTTCAGCTACTGTAGAAACATGACAATGCAACGTGGCGCCTTCCATGGAAGGGGTTGCCGCGGTTATGTAGATATAAATGGCTCATTCTAAGGTAATAAAAACATAATGGTGTATTATGTAAGGTCTTTACACACCACTGAAAACATAGTTATGGATCTTATATTGCATTTCTGTCGATAGATCCTCAGAAATTTAACACACTGAACCTTTAAAGATTTTTTACACTGTTATTAATCATCTCAAACATGTTGCACATTCTGTCATCTCAGGACAAATTATTTCCCCCCCACTCCATTCAAATCTGTGCAGACACAGTGTGCTTTATCAATCACATACACTGTGTTTACTAACACACCGAATGTAAACGCGGAGCCCTTGGTCAGTTTTGTCCAATGACCATTCCAATCAAGTTTCAATGCTTTGATGACAAAAACAGAGAGAAGGGCGGTATTATTTGTGCAATTCTACTATGAACAGAAGAAAGACAAAAAAGAAACATGGAGCTGCAGATAGCTGGAAGATGCAGACAAAATCTGTTCTGCAGTGAAGTTCAGTTTTATTTCACAGATACATTCCACATCACGTAAAATACTCCGCCTTAATCAAGCTCACTACATTTTGTAACGGTTTGGCAGCAATGTGGGAAATCACACCGTGGTGCTGCTCAAACTGCAAGACAGCCCACCAAAATTTCGGATATGCTGAAAATCCAAATAATCATCCCACAGCCAGATTGTTGATCATTAAAGCAATGAATAAGGGTTTTCCCTCAGACTGTACGTCAAACGACAACCGATCTGACACAAATTTGTCCCAATTCTAAGCTAAAATCAGGCTTAATCTGTACAGTGCCTGCCCCAGTCTCTTGCATTTGTTGACACAGTGCATTGGTTCATAAGTTGATGTGATGAAATAAAACCCAATCTGATCAAACTCTGAGACTCATACACTGAGAAAAACTTGAGTCTGACCAGGTTGGAAATAATATGGTGAGACCTAATCAGGTTAAGTTTGAGTCAAAGTTCTAGGGAACATGTAAAACAATACACACTAGATCTGAGCCATTATCATGACATCAGTTTTTGCCACCAAAGTCTATAAGCAAATGCGGCATGTTCAAGAGCGTTAAGCTTCTGCAATTTCACTTTTATTGCAATAGAATAAACACTTTAAATTAAAAACTACTTTTTGTAAAAGATGGCTGAAAATCCAAGTTATACAGAACCACAGCCCTACTGGTGTTCACTGATTTAGATTTCTCCATTTTGCTGCTTGATGATTCTGTTTCAAAGGCATGAAAGGATGGGGGAGGAGCACACGCCTACAAGAAAAGCTTTTCTGATGTGGCATCTGTCAGTGCAGGCTGCTTTATTGTCAGGTTTATGAGACAGCAGGGATCTATTGTTTATTTCTGCTGCTGGAGTGTCCAGGGGATAAGAAATGAGGTTTTATTCCCAATACCAATACTTTGATTGCACAAGAAGAATTTTCACCATGTTTTAGTTTGAAAACCAATAATGCACAGCTTTTTGAGTTTCTTTATTATTTCTTCTAAAAATGCTTGCAATAGAAACAGCACTTGTAACATCTGTGAAGATTCTCAGTCATCCAAGTCAAAGCAATCCAAGGTAGGTTAAAATCAATGGCAAGTGGACTCTGTTGACAAAACTTGAACTTTTTTTGCCTCTCATCCAAGAGGTTTCTTCAGTTCTGACTGACATGCAAGGAGTTAAAGCAGCTACAAGAGCTCAGAGGTTCATCACTGAGGATACTTTGAGACTGCAACTTTTCTAAATGTGTTTTTTTTTGTCCAATTATTTGTCAACCAGAGTAACAAGGGACAGATGGTACAGTAATGAAGCAAATCTGAATCCCAAGTCTGAGCGAGCAAAAGCTTAAATGAAGTCCACAAACAGGTCAGCTTGCAAACAAAACTAGAAAGCGCTGTTAGAAGCTCGGCAGAACACCGGCATACAACGATTTACTCTAGTATCAACATCAGTTGGATTCTGTGTATGAACGGACCTTGGGCCCGTACCACGAAGCAGGATTTGAGCTTATCCAGATAACTTTGGGGTTAACCCTGGGTTTTCAGTACCACAATGGTGGTTCACTTCTTACCGGGGTAGACTGCCATGGTAACTTATGCTGAACAGCTAACCTGCTCCGGAGCAGATTATGTTCCAGATAAGAGATCAACTCTATAAAAACACTGCCTATTGACCAATCAGCTCTCTTGAGATAACCATCTGTAGGAGATCTCGCAGACTGTTTTCAAGGCTGCTTTTATGCTTGCTGCAGTGATGCGGAGAAACTTTTGTATAGCGAGCTCATCCTACAGAGACTGATTGAAAAGCCTTGTAAGCTACTACTTATTGTAGGTTTTTACAGTAAACCTGCTACTTTTTTTTATTTTATACACTTCATAAGAACGCATCAAATAGAAGCATTATTACAGACTACGCCTGTTCATTTAGGAATTCCCACTGTCTTTCTGCATGTGTCAGCAAAAAATTTACACACAACCACAAACCAATTAGAGGCTTGCATGTGCAAAGAAAGAAAAACCTGAAAAGCCTTTAAGGAGACAGACTCTGCAAACTCAGTAAGTTAACAGTTATAATGTGAGCTGCAGGTAAGAGTTCTTTTGAGGCTGGCCAACGTTATGAACTGATTTAAGATTTTACAATGGGATTGTGATCATTTACAATTCTGCATTGCAATAATATGTTAGCGTTGCAGATGGACCGATGTGCCGACCGGTGTGCAGCTATGACAGATGAGAACTGGATTAAAGTTTTGGTGATGTTTGCATGTTCATGATCAGATGGGTTTTTAATACACAGAGCTACACAGTCATCGGTTTAGCATATAGGTTGTGTCTTGTACATAATTTGTAAGGTCTTGTTTTATATGTATTCTATATGTATTTGCATTCGATATGTATATGATATGATAAGGACTAAACGGTCCAAATACTGCAAACCAGTTCCAGCCATTCTCTCCCACTACTAGAGCTAACATCACAACAGCATATCTTGGCAAACTAGAAAGTAATCTGAATGTGTATGGGCCAGTCATTTAACGTTACCTGACACACAAATCATGTCTGGAACGGCTGTGCTGTGCACAACACCAGATTTTTTTTCAGCACACACACAGAACGGACACTGAGAATGGACAGCTAGCGTGGAGATCTGCAAACCCCAGCTTTAAGAACACTGTTCAATCCATGTTCCAACACTGGCCATGGCTTTTGACGAACTAATAACGTTCCAGTACTGTTTTAATTATACCAACAATTACCCAAAGCCTCTTGAGATAGCTCTCAGACAACCTCAGTTGCCCCAACCCTACCTGACATCTCTTATGTGACACATGAAATGCACCAGAATAAGCAACATCATGCCTTATCTATATAGTCGGTCCACTGCAGAATTGTCATTTTAATGACATAAGACAACCATCTAGACAACCAGTATCTTTGCCTGGTAAAACCCTGGATTTAGTTAATTGATAATACAAAATATTTTTACCAGTTATATTCAAATTGTGCATAAATTTACTGTAGCCGCCGCTCATTGTGTATAGCACAATTACAGCACGACTGGTCACAGGAGCATAAAGGACAAGAAAACAATGACAAACAACAGATGTTGGTAGCTTAGTTCAATCTATTCATATCCTCCAACATCCTGTTCTGTGTCATGTGCCTCATTTGCTTCGCTGTGGTTATTCGTTGCATAATGTATTATTTCAAATTTCACATTCTGTGATTACTGATGTTGGATCTAGGTATACTTTTTTCTCTTTTGAAACTCGCTTGACATAAGGCTAAAATTAAACATACTGTGGAGTGAAATAGCAGTTAGTCTGAAGAAGGGGAACATCACTATGAATGGTGGCGTGGTAAGACAACATACTCAATGCTCCACTGGATCTTTGATGACACACATGGTGACTGAAATGAGGATAGACAGAGGGGGATGCTGGGAGATGTAGTTGACTGGCTTGGAGAAGCATGCAGCTCACTCAATAAAAAGGGCAGAACCCACCTTCTCCGCTCCCCGGGCCGGCCTCTGTAATTATCTCCATTAGAGAATTTAGCCCAAATACTGCACACAAAACCCAGAATTAGTGCCGCGAAAAGGTGGACAGAGAGAGGGACACCGGCCCAGACACAACCAGTCTGAACATCAACCCATAACACAACAGACATGCACACTCAACATGGTGCCAAAACAAAGAAATACAAAAATAAGAGAAAAGGGCAGACAGAAAAGAGAAAAAGACAATATGTACTGACGATGGTATCAATCCTGAAAGAGTTCGATATGATGACTACTGCCTTTTGTTCAGCAGCACATTCAACATTTACAGTACCAAGTAAGAGCTATGTATAGCTCATACTTTGTTGTATATCAGTAGCCTGAACCATGGGAATAATGCTGAACAGTCCAGATCAACAATGAAAATGTACACTAACAGAGTAATGGATGGAGTTGTTTCCTAAGAATTTGTGCGTGATGTAAGGCAGAAATCGTTTTGAGCATAAAAACATAACTCATCAGATAATCGTGACACACAGCAAAATACTTCATTAGAAAACCTGTGATCTTCAAACTTTCTTCACTGTTTTTATTAAAATAGTGAATGACCTCAAAAAGGGAAGGAAACACTCAACAATGGGAGCCACCAAACAAGCAAGCAAGGCAAAATAGTCGGGAGGCAGGTGGGAAATAAATTCCATTCACTAAGGACAGATCTTTCTGTGAAAGTCATTCAAAGACATAAATGTAACTACAACAAAACATGAATTAGGTAAATTCAGTTCAAAAAGGACTGATCATCCTTCTTGTAGTAGTAAGGATGTGCAGATGCCACACCAAAAACAGTCTGTAGTCACAGAAGAAATCTTTTGACTATAAATGTGTGCATTACCGAGCAAAAAGACTCCCAACAGTCACACAGAGCGGAATGGCAAAGAAACAGAGGGAAAGGCATGGATATACATTTTAGCTCTATGCTGAGAAGGTGGTGAGATAGGTATAGGTCACTTCAAGGATAAAGAAAAGCCTAGTCAGGGGGCTAAAACAAACTGTCACACCAGACATAACATACCCGGGCTGTCAGGGGCATCTGAACAACAAAGACAAAACACATCATAATCAAAGAACATTTTTTATGGCAGCTATTCCACACGAAGTGGAGCTATTGAGTTAGATTACCATGCTTCGCCTGTTTTTTCTCTCGGTTAAAGTGAAAATCCAGCCTAACCAGAATTCATATTAGCTTTTTAAACGAAAAAACCCTCATATTAGCCAGTTTAATAACTCTATTCCCGAGTGCAATTTTAGTCCCTGTATCTTTAGCAAAGCATGACATTGTTTGTGCAGTGCATAATTTACCTTCGCTCATGTTCAAACATAGCTAAATATGAGCCATCAGCTGCCACAGCAGTTGGATTCCTTTTTTTATATTTAGGATTCCATTCATGTGTAACTGCAGTTAATCTGATATAAACATCCGAGTCCTTACACCCTTAAAACCATATATCCTGCAGTTTATTTGGATTGCTTAATCTTTCTGTTTGTTTGGGAAAAGACCTGACTTTGACATACCACATTTATCTACTTCCAAATGATACCTGGGTGCACATTGGTACTAGGTCTGTAACAATTATTTGCATTGTTTATTAATCTGATGAATATTTTCTCAACTAATTGATTAGATGTTTGGTCTACAAAATGTCAGAAAGTGGAGGGAAATGTCTATGTGTTTCGCCCCAAGATAACGTCCTCAAATGTCTTGTTTTGTCCACAACCCAAAAACATTCAGTTTACTTTCACAGAGGAGAAAGGAAACCAGAAAATATTTACATTTAAGAAGCTGGAATCAGAGAATTGTTCTCTTCAAAAATTACTCAAATCGATCAAAGTAGTTTAGTGCAGCTCTAATTTCTACCAATGTTCGATTAAACTACTTCATACTACCACGCTAATGATAGTAAAAAATGCAAAACAAGCCAAATTAATCAATAGTCTCAAAAATGCACATGAGAAAGAGTTGCTCATCTCTGCAAATGAAGAACAAGACCATGGAAACAACAAACATGAAGTCTGTTTTTGAGTGGATTTTCCCGTTACTCTTGAGAGAAAAACTTTGTTTGATATCCCCTCAATATTCTCTTTTAAAATAGTGCCATATCTGTTTGGCAATCCAGTGAGAAGAAAGTCAGGCTTTAAAAACATCTCTACAGACCTGCTTGTTCCATTTCCTCTTCAATATCAAAAGTGAAATATTCTTTTACCCAAAACAATTATTGTGGCAAAGCAATGAAAACAAAAAAAGGCAGAGAAGGACAGACAGTAAATTAATTAAATAAGATACTACTAAAGTTGAAAGAAATACTGAAATACTATGCTTTTCTGTTCAAACAAGTGTACATTAGTTATGTTTTTTTAATGAATAATCGAAGTTAGGACCATTTAGATCTATTTTTTATTAGAATTTTTAGTGTATAAAATGAGGATTCAAATCATAGTATTTGACTGTAAACTAAATTAGTATCATCAAATAATCAAAACAAATCTCTTAATAAACAGATAACATGACTGTAAGCATGATGTGATGAAAATAAAACTTTAAATGAGAGGGTCAGAAAAACAAAAATAGCACTAAATTGTTTTATCCTTTAACTCTTCCTACTGTATGTCCTAAACATCACATTTTATGATAATGTTTCTTATTACCAGACTGATTAACTGGGACAGACAATAAGATGACAGAAACACCAATTTCATGACAAATTTGAACAGATGTAAAAGTGGTCAGGTTAGCTGTGTTGTGTTGTCCTACCTTTCAGACTGGGGAAAGGCGTTGCTTTATCCCTCGCTGCCTTGTTGGGAAGAGCAAGATTGGACAGACTGAAACTGGTGCCATGGTTCTTGTAAAGATTGCCTAGAATGGGAGTGATAATAGTATAATCAGAAAACAAGAATAAAATGATAAATGAATGATCAAGCAAAAAAAAAAAAAGTATAATTATTAACACTCTTCACCAGTCACATACATTACTCTGATCAAAACGGTGATAAAGCCTTTGGTAAGAAAATGCAACTGATCCAGACACAGAGAAATCATTTAACCAATACATAAATATGTAAATGTCCATACAACCAAGGGATTCTGTCCTCTAGACAAAAGAGAAAATAACAGAAACCTCTATAACAAGGCAACATTATGTTCACTCTTTTAGGCAACTATACTCCCTGTAGATTCTGGATTTTAATGCATTTTTGAATTTGTGAGGGGGGTGTGTTCAAGCATTAACTGCATGTAGTTGGGTCATCATCCACATAAATCAGCCCACTTTCCATGTGTTAAAACCTGGACAAATAACATATTCTTACTGGCAAAGGACATGAGTCCTCCAAATCCATCATTGCTGCTGTTGGAAATGGTGGAGTTTGGCGAGCTGTTGCGGGAGTCTCCCTCCCCGTCAGACTCTCCTGGGAGCCTCAGGCTACTGGGACGTAAAGGACGTTGTGCCCTAAAAAGGTGATCAAAAGACATTACCGTGCGTCATAGACACAGGAACATATAATAATAATAATATGCATGCTGCTGGGAAACTCTCAAGCATTCACAACACACACAGCACCACCAATGATTCAAGACCACCATGAATGGAGAGAGTAATTTGACATGCTGCGTTTTGATAGAGAACATTGCATGGTTTGGTCAGAGAGCCCATTTGAATGATGATAGTGTATTCATTCAAGTGATGAACAAGTTTAACACACTTGTTGCCATTGAGGTTCTGGTTGAATCGAGGGGTGTATGACTCCACTTGCTCTTCTGCATCAGGGTCATCCTCTGAGGGGAAGCCATACTGAGGCTCAAAGTATGGGTTATCATACTCCTGTTTTTTGTTGACTGAGTCCACCAGGCCAGAATCAGCAGTAGGTCTGAGGAATGGCTGACTCCCCAATGAGGGGACAGAGTTCTGTAAAGCGGCACTTGCTGATGCTTCAATTTCAGGTGCTTCCCCCTGGTCCTGAAAAAATGACAACACATATTAATGGGAATTGTGTTAATGACTCCTTGTGTTTGTGCAAATAAAGTTCTCCTTTCCTTAATTTTTATACAGAATAGATTAATTCTGCATTGCTCTAGTTTGGCACTATTCATTTTTTGATGAATATGACATTTGCAAATTTACAGCTCTTGTTACAAATTGTGTCTACAGAAACAATAAATAGATACACATCAAAGCATTAGATATTTAATTTCTACAAAAATACATCCTTACTGTATTTTTGTAGAAATTAAATATCTAATGCTTTGATGATGAGGAAAAATATACAGTTTCCAAGTGAATTTAAGCTTCACAGTGATTGGAATGATCACACACATGGTTGACTCCCTGGATGACTGTGCTGGGACTTGAGCTTGCAGTTGTGCTGGAGCTTGAGCGAAGAGGTTGTCCATCAGAAGGTTCGATGGGTCCGTCCCCACTAGGTGGACCCTCTGAGCCATGAACTTCCCTGAAGTCCTCAAAGTCTTGAAATTCAACTTCACTGGCATCTCCCAGTGCAGCATGGGTAGGCGGGTCCACGCCTAAGACATCGAGATAAAATATTAGAAGGAATTACAGTCATGGCGTTTCTTGTAATGACACTATTACTACTACTTACTTGGTGTGTCTCCCTGGATGTCACCTTGGATCATCTCACTTACAAGGTCCCCAAGTGAGGAATAGGATGAGCTGGAGTCATCGTATGCCTCACTGTCACTACCACTGCAACAAATAAAATTAAAAATTACCTACAGCATAAAACACAATAAACCAATAACTCAAATAAAATGATTAAATTGGATTGTTGTGCTGAAAAGGATCTTGTTCTTTCTCACCTGTCTGTGGGGTCAGACTCATTGCCCTCATCCTCCAAGGGACCAGCCATAGCTTCAACCAGCTGGGAGCTTCCATCGTACACTCGGTAGACCACAGGCTGTAGCTGGTGAGCATACCACTTGGGCTTGTCCCCGATTAAGGAAGGGTCAAACACATCTGAGACAGAAATGTACAGAGTATAATGTTATATATAACACTTACTTTATTACATTTTTTGTAATGGATACGGAACAAGATACAGAATACAATCATCTTAAATGAGTCTCACTGTTATGTATCCTCTGAAAGGCGAGGTTGGTGGGATTGAGAGCCCATTCTCCATAGAACTCCACTGCCTGGGTGTGAGAAAGTTTATCTGCAAAGCTAGAGCGCCGTGGCCGAGATGCAAGAAAAGAAGTTGACTGAAAAGCCACCACAGGCCGGGGGAAGAGGCGCAAGGTGCGAGTGTGCATCTGGAACCCCTGGAGAACATTTGGGGAGTTGAAGAACCGTACCATGGCGACCCTGTAAAAGAAAAAAGTTAGTCTTGCTTAATAGGTCTTGTAATCTGTAAAATAAATATCATTAAGCTGTACAATATATAGATAGCTGATATTATTATAGATAGCTGGTATTATTAGCAGATAATTAATAAAATTATACTATTGTTAATTATTATTAAAAAGCTACAGATATTCTAAATATTGTAGTTGTATTAGAAAAATAATAATATTATCCGTTATCATATCAGTATCGGCAACAACAAACAGATAATTATCTGTCATCGTTATCGACCCAGATATTTAATGTAGGTGCATCTCTAAATATAATTTTTCAGTCATTATTTTCCCCTTTCAGAGTTCTTTACAGAGAGAAATATGAAAAATTAACAAAGGAAAGAGACAGTCATGGCTTGCCTCGTGGCGACATCCACAGAATCAACATCATTGCCGTAAATAAGAGGGTTGAACTCTGTGGAAGATGGCGAAGCTTTATCTCGTCCAGGTGGGAGCAGGGGCATTTCCTGGCCTTCGTGGAACTTCTCCAGGTTCAGAATGGGTTGGGTGTTCAAACTCATACTGGCCAAGGCCTAGAACAGGTGACAGTGACACGAATTATAAACATAGCAGTGGATCTGAAGACAAAAACACAGTGCTGTGACAGACCACTCCCACGATTGGCATCAACATTTAATGGTATCAATTTGTTAAATTTAATGGGACATTATATAAATGTTTACACACTCTATAGAGGCAAAACAATTAAGGCCAAAGTGACTGACTGCTAGATTGGGGGCTTAAACATGGAAATTCTGGTTTAAGAGCTGATTTTATGGGATTATCTAATGAAAATTATCTAAACAAACATACTCATTTTACTACCAAGCATCTCTGCTGCCCAGTTTTGTATTTATGTGAAGTAAGAGATGATAAACCCTAGGTCCCAACCTAGGTTTTCCCCAGTTTTACAGTTTTCACAATTTTACTTTACTCTTATTATAAAATGTACCTGAAGGGTCGGTTTTATGCATGTTGATGCCTGTGGTGGGTGTGTCCTTTTAGAGGAGGGGCACAAGGAAAGTAAGTCACTATGCATGGTTTGCTTTGAAGGAACTGCTGCAGACTCAAGTGTCAATGTTTAGCTTAGCATAATGGAACATTTAGTTGCTGGGTCTGGATGAATGTTATATTTGTCAAAGTGATTAGCTTCATCATATCTTGTTTTGGTTACAAGAACACTCACTGATGCCAAGATAGATGCACGCACATTCAGTCATGCTCAAGCCAGAGCTAAGCAGTGTATCAAAAACTGGTCCACAACATTCTGTGACACTGTTATGCATTTTATTCAAGTCTTGAAGAGTAGGAGACAAGTAGTAGTGACAAGCAAAATAATGTGAGAGAGGAGATATCCGTGCAGGGGCATTACACATTCCACAGGAGGAGAAATGAGTAACCTTATTTTCAGAGGAGAAGATCTGCTTTTGGGTGATCACGGTCAACCTAACCAGACACTAGGGAAGGGGATAAGAGAGATGCGAGGAGAATCACATGAAGGCCTGGAATGATAACTTTGTGACGGACACTGGAACAGCACGATGGAAGGGTCACAACAATGGCCCTTTCCCTTTCTTTTCTTTGACTCCTTTCAACAGTACTTCCCTATTTGTCGGTTTGTGCTGACAGTGTGCTATATTTTGGTGCCACCCAAATGTGACTCAAATAGATCTAAAGTCATTAAAAAAGTGCTTTTTGATTTGTTTTTGCAATGAAATTTTGCCGTTTGGTCATTTTCATTTCCAATTCTACAATACTACCATACTTTACTGAAGAAAGGAGATGAGAAAAGATACATTTGTGTTTGTTTTGAAAAGATGATGCAAGAGCAAGAGGAGAGAGAGACAGAGAGAGACAGAAAGAAGAATATGTGGAAAGAAGAGAGTTTTTTTTATGCTTAACATAGAAGACAATGAGAAACACAGACAAAGCAGTAACGTGACCAAAAACCAGACATCACCTACAGAATCCAGCCACTAAAAGACACATGAAAGCAATCCATGGTGACCAGCTGGGACAAACCAGTGGTTACAATGGAGTGGTGATGACATATACAAAATAGCAGATCTTTTCAGAAACATAGATAAAATACTTGCACAATAAAGCACCTGTAGCAAAATATTGGGTGAGCAGAAATAATACAATGGATTTATTTTAGTTATCCAGTGTTAAGTGCAAGTATTTTCAGTGACTCTCACATCAGCAGCATTCTGCTTTGGCATCACAGTCTTCAGATAATAAGTTAAACCATCTTCAGTGACATTTTCTCCATTCAAAGATATCAATATTGTGTGCTTGTTTCCAAATACACAACTGCTAAACTGAGGCTTTGCGCACTCCTACACACCGGCCCTTCAGTCACACATTCGCACACAGGGAGAGAGCTGCTAATCACACATGGCTAACGAACTGGCTCTGATTCACGGCATATTAAACTGAACAAGAGTAAGCAAAGATTTTCACCTAAATTTCTAAATTAATTTCATAAACAGCAAGTAAAGTTTGAACAAAACATATGAGGAAAGTTCCACGTTGGTTGTATTAGATTAGACAATACAATAAAATGTTGTTATTATACTTAAAAACATAACAGCTTCAGCGTATGTGTTGACTTCATAACTTGTGAAACTTTGTGTTTGGCTGCCAGTTTTTATTAAAAGTGATACTGAACTTTGGTGATGCCCCTGTGTCATTTAAATGTATAATTATATATTTAAAAAGTGAATGTTAGGTCATTTTAGCATGTCGGTCTCATTTTACAGTGAAGGATTTCATTTATTGTTAACATTTATGAACACTGTTATGGATGATTTTTTTTTCCTGGTAAACTTCAAATGTAATTAAGTTCAGCCATGACTAAATTTTCTTGACCAATAAAAACACTGTGTGAGTGATGATCAGTTGTGCATCCATCTTTGCAAAGATGGAACTTGGTGTGATATGTTATTGGTGTTGCTCACAGTGTGGAAGTATGAACAAGTGAGGCTTTTCCATGAATCAGAACCAGATTCTGATGTTACATTAGATAATCGGGTTAGGGAGGCAAGTTAGTTACTACCGGTATTACTAAAGGTTTTGTTGGGTAGCAGGATCCTAGGATCTGATTTTACCTCCAAGAGCTAGAGCATGCAAAGAAAACAGGAAAAAAAGAAAAGAAAAACATTTGTTTATGTTAGTGCACTACAAAACCCATTTCAAATGCTCTCACACTCATCTACAATACATACAATCTGGTGAAGAAGGAAGCCCCTACTCTTCACACTTCTGAAAGAGAAGTTTTGCATTTATACAAGAGTGAAATCAACTAACAGTCCTGGGAACAAACATCAAAGAGCGGCTCCAGAGCACCCAGGTTCCAGCAATTTCTCTGCAAAATGATCATATAACATGAGCTGTGCTACTGGTTTTGGGCTGAGCAGAAAACTTTGAACTGATAATATTTAAGATGAATCAGACAAATCACATGCAGTACCTGTTTCAGATGTTTCTTAAGCTCAGCTGCTTCGGGTTCTGGAAGAGGTGGTAGAATCTCTGCATTGGTTGGTGCTATAACCTAGGGACAAATAAACCCCTCTAAATTTAGATAAGCAAGAAAAATATTGTTGTCAGCTAAATCTGGACATGATGAATAAAAGACAACACGAGATCAGAAGGAGGAGAAGAACACCATACTGATGTACTAACCTTGCTGCTGTCAAGGTCCACAAGCCACAAGTCGTCTGGCATTTTGAAATCAGCTTTGTAGAGGAAGAAGCTGGCTGGTACACCTATAATGTATGGAGTGGGGGCAAGAAGGAGCTGTGTGGAAGAGAAAACATACTAGTCAGTCAATATTTGATGTTCTCACAATTGATAGAATTTGCAATTATAAAATTATGTTTAGTAAAAATCTTAAAACAAAGACATCATCCACTTGAAATATATTTATAACAAATGTTAAGTTTTACCTGTTCAGCAGAGGCCATGCATGTTGGCAGTAAGGGGATGACAGGGAACATGTACTCGAGAGGGTAGATCATGGCCACAAAGGCCATGACGCTCATAGACAAAGCATTGTAATCTCTCGATTGAAGAATGACCTGGGGAAAAAAAGAAACACGAATAAAAGACTGAAAAACACAACATATTTAAAAAATTAAAGCGAATAAAGCAAATTTATATTTTCCTGTGTATTTATATACAAACTTGGTGAGTGTTCACTGCCCTGTTATGTTCATACTGTCACATGTAAACAGACACAGTAACATAGTTGGCGTCTTGCTCTGGTCCACTCTCACTCAAATATGTCTCATCTATCCATTTTTAATCATATTTCCCCTTTTTGGTCTGTAATATAAATTTAAACCCAATTTGCTTTGGATTCCTAACAGCAATATTAAAAATAGGGCTTTTATGAAAAATTCATTGGGCAGCACAAAGTCCTTGAAAGGAGGTGACTCTCAAAGCTTTCAGTCAGCACTTAGTTCAGCCTGACTGAGTTTAATGATGTATTGAATTCATCTTCACAATCCAGGAAGACCTTTCAATCAATCTGCATTTTAAGCCAAATTTCCCATTTAGGATAATAAAAACGTTTCTGGGTGGGAGAATTTAGGTAGGTAGGCCAGATAAATTCTATTATTGAGAAACACTGAGTGATAGAAAAGCAGAGAAAATGTCTAGCATTTATCCAGCAGTATGGTCTTTCAGGAGTGTGATGCTGTGAAGCTTAGGTTTGATTTGGAGTAGCTGCAAATGAGCCAGCGTATCAATGTCACTGTAAACCAAGAGCAACAACAGAACACTACACCAGCCAAACACAGATTTCTATTACATCCCTACTAATGTTTCTTGTGTTAAAGATAGGAGACACAGAGATGAGTCTTGCCTTTCTGTCATTCAGAGTACAGAGTCTTCTTTTGAACCATCATACTTTGTCCATGCTGCAGTAAAATGGCTTCAATGAGCCTACATCTAACAGAAAATGTCTGATGAAGGTCACTCAGGATGTCTCCCATGAGATCCTGAAAACGTTCTTTGTCAAAGCAGGGAGATCACAACATGCTAAGTATAACTTGTCCTTACTCCTTCAAACAACCAGTGGGTCTTTAAAAAAGTCCAGAAGGTGATTTTTTTACAGTCGAAAGCAACCACACATCTCTTCCGGGTCTTTAAAAATACAAATCCTTACCTTGTGCTCTAGCAGGATACAGCTGAGGACCTGAAGACAGGCATCCACACCCAGCAGCTCTAAGGGCAGGTGCAGGGGGAAGTCGACCATGGAGAAGCGAGAATTGTCAGGCAGGGCAAATGTGAGTGGCCGTTTGAGTTCATGGGGCAGGACTTCAACATCCACGCGCCTCTGACCTGCCACTGGTACAGGTGAACGCAGCAACCGGTACACCCAGGATTCAATCTCCCGCAGGTCGGCTAGCAGCTGGCTGCCTTTCTCTTCAACTGACAGCGCCCCAGTAAACACCCGCCACATAGTGTCCCTGGAAAGGACATAAACAGAGAGTAAATTCAGACCTCATTGAAAACTTGAGTATTTCCTTACACTACATTAAACCATCAGTCCAAAACAAAATATAATGTGTTTATAATGATATCAAACAGAGAGAAGCAATAGATATTCTAATCTGAGAAATCATTTTTGCTTGATAAACCTAAATAAAAATTGTTTTAGCACTAACTGAAGTGCCTCCTCCCCTTCCCCCATACACTGAAAAACGCACAGGAATAGTTCAAAGTGTGACAGATATAAATGCAAATGCCAGTCCAAAATGCAAGAATGCACTGTAGGTCAGCAACAATTACTGGCAGCATGAACAGTTATGAGAAACTGTAAAGAAAAGAAGACACTGTAACAGCATGATTACATAGTGACAGTTACTATTATTAGCATTGATATAATTAAAATGTTCCACTGAGATTTATACTATGCTAAGCTTAATAAAACTTTTTTTCCAATTCAATCAAGAGTAATTTTAGGGTTAAAAACAGATCCAACTAAATTATTTGCTCATTTTATTGCTGTAAACAGCTAAAATGAAGACTTGGCACCCAGCAAAATCACTAATATGATGAGGAAATGAGATTGAAAACACAGGAGAGGCTCTTAAGCACGTGCCGAATTAGTGATGTGAATGCCCCCTACTCTACACACACGGTGCCATTAAACCCTTTCAAGAGTGTATACTGTGTGTCTAACAAGAAGGGAGATAAATCATTAGTCCTTTGGAGCCCTCCCACCAACTGCAGCTGCTACCCAAAGGCAAGCAGAGACCTCAATCTGTCAGAGCCGCCACTGCACAAAGTGCTTGCAGCCATTATGCAATGGCTCGCCTCTTTCTCCCGTCTTTGCCACACTACATTTCAAGCAACCATGACAGCAAAGAAATACTCTCAGGTCTCTTCAACCTTTGGCTTGAATGGCATTTTTTCAAGGTTGTCAGAGAAACTACACTTCTATACACATGATATGTTGATCGGCTGCGACACTATACCACAGAGAAAAATGGCAAGGTATGAGATTAACTGTGCATTAGACATTTTACAATCCCTTGTAGTGACATGGGGAAAAGCTGTACTGGTTTTGCAGCTGTTCAGCTATAATAGAGATGAGAATGAACATACATCCTGGGTGACCAACAATCTGGGCCTAACCCAGTGAGGAGTGACAGCCTAATTAACGCTTTGTCACTCCAAAATTTTCATCTATTGTGTCACCCATGGCAATAAAATAACCAAAAGAGCACGGCAAATACTGTCACGTCCCAACTCAATGTCACAGCAAAATACAGTGTACAGCTAGCTGAGTATTTTCGGCAGCTTAAAAGAATCAATCATGGTGGTATATTAAGAAAATCCAACATAAAATATGGTCAGCTCTTTGCTAAATACCATTTTTTCATAGTGTTGTATATACAGTGGATACCTTTTTCTATTTTTATTTTCTGATTTAGAGTTATATCTTTTATCCATCTCAACACCACCATTTTTGGTAACATCTCTAAGAAATTACTTAACACACACAATTATTATTATTCTTAAACTGGTCTTCGTACCTCAGCTAAATTTATTAACACTGGATGAAATAGTATTTGCTATAATAAATAATTCAAAGCATAACCTTTTAAATGCACTGTGGTTATTTTGGTTGCCATTATTTATCATCAAGGTGGAGTGTGATAGCATAAAGCGTACTGTGAAAACATGACACAAGCTGCAGATGGCCTGCAAAGTTGCATGGAGCCACAGACAAAGGCGCTTGTATTAACTCTGCAACACAAACATACACATAACAGGTGGACCATGAGAGAAGCAGATGAGGGCTGGAAGAAAGCAGTAGAACCAAGCCGGGGACTAAAAATTGATGCTGTAAAAATACATGTCATGGGTTCATTTAAATTAGATGTTTTATCACCCTGGTAATCTGAACGTACTCTGCAAATTTCCTATTTGCAATATGTCTGTTAGATTAGGAGATATTGCGATCAAAGTTGACATTTGCCCGATGAGTGACATAACAAAAAAAGGTCACTGAATGTCAAAAACAGTAAGTGTCCATCATCTGGAAAGCATGAATGTGCTCAGCAATTTCATAGCAATCAACCACATCTAGGTATTTCTGTACAAAGTTTGTTTGGATAGTGGCCACCTTCAAACCAAATTAGCCATGTGCCTTAAAAACAGTACATGTATGTTTAAATGTGAACCAGGATGAAAAGACAAGAACAAAATTACAATAAATTCTAAGTAAGCAAAAAAAGAAGAACTGCGTATACACATGCAGATACTATCCTAAGCCTTACCTCTGAGTGGCACGAGGGAGCCCAGCTCGTTGAGTTAGCCTCTGACTGCAGCAGTCCACCAGCCTCTTGAGAATATATAAACATTCCCTGAAGGTGGAGAAGAAGGGGTAGTGGCTGAGTATGCACAGCGAGGTCAGCGTGCTGTTGCGATTCCTGGCTGCCATCCTAGCAGCGCGCCGCCTTTGCTGTGGGGACTTGCCGGCGTTTAACTCGGCCCCTAGTTGTCCACTCTCTTCTCCCGAGGCTGGCGGAGGTGCTGACTCAGCATTGTTAGGCGGAGATAACGTGGAGTGTGGGCCTCCACTGCTGCCATCAGACCCGTCACTAGTGGTCTCCGCCGCCTGCGCTGCTGTCTCGGTGTGGCTGGTCTTGTCCCCGCGAGTACGGTGATGTCCTCGCTGAAAGGAACGGTAGAAGTTGACGCAGATTCCATAGCGGGTGGTTCCTGAGTCCTTGTCGGTCAGCGTGAAAACGAATGAGGAGTCGTCACGAAGGCTAACCCTACGATGGCGTATACTCAGGCAGCCCTCTGGTTGGCAGAAAAACACCACGTCTGGTGAGAGTGGGAAGTCATGGTAGTCCTCAAGCGGGTAGCGGCGAAGGAGCTGAGGTGTCTGGGCCACACTGTCACTACTTGGTTGCCTGGAGGGGAGATGAACAAAGATTTGTTTTGTTTTTAGACCAACAACTTATGCTGTAGTGCTACACCTAATTCTACGTGCATTTCACAACTCATATCTGGTATATCTGCAAACTTATGTCCCCTCACAGTTTTGAATTTAATTTCAAAGTGTCACTAAGTGATGAGAAAAGCATTTCATATGGGAGTAATGAAGGCCTTATATCACTTGATAGTACAACGCAACGGCTAACAAAGCCCTGACAGTAGTCTGGTGGTTACAGAAGCAAATTTGTGAGTGAGAGTGAGAGTGTGTGTTACCCCAGGATCACCAGTGTTAGTTTTAGAGAAGTGAGTAATCCAACCAGAGACCTCAGGACAACAGCTAGCGATGCATAGGCTAGCTGCTAGCCAAGTATTACAAAAAGATTTTTCCCTTAGACAAAGTCAGTAATAATGAATTTCAATACAAAACGCAACTTGCTGGCAACAATATTGTTATGCGAGTGTTGTTTGAGTAATGGAACATCTTGGTGCTCACCACAAATCATACCTCCATGCCTTCAACCTGCATCTTATCATGCTCCCTTGTGTCTTATTACCAGAAGGCGCACACGCGCACACAGTATGCGTATACTTTTTACAATGAATGCATTCTCCACCTGACCCGGCTGTAATTAAACACAGAAGAAGCATGAGGTTGAACTATGACCTATGGACGACAATTTCTAGGTAAGTCAAATTTCCCTCTCTCATACATGGGTAGTGGGTGGGGAGTGTCCCCTGGTCCCCTGGTCCCCTGAGGTAATAAAGCACATGTTTATCTCCCTAAATGTACCAATAGAGATACTTAGTAGTATCAGTAGTAGACAGTTCTCCAGTTTCACTATGTTCATGTGAATCATCCCTTTCTCCTGTGGCTACTTCACTTGAAACAATGTGCTACTATACTTCATTATGCATGCTCCATCATGTGGGAGTAAGCAACTGATGCATGAAGTTATTGAACTCTTGAAACTGTCAAATGTCAACACTGGCAAGCAATTAGGGTGCATTCAGATCATAGCATTGGCACCTGTCATCTTTTCATCTGTTTCTGCACTTGCGTAGTGAACTTTGTGTGCTTTTACATACATGATGATGATTTGATGTTGTGATTGTGAGTGATGATGCTGCCTTGTGCCATGTCAAAAGCAGAGCTATATTTTCAGCTAGAACCTCTGCTACAACACCCCTTATAGCAGCAACTAACAGTATCAATAAAATGAATGAGTGCAATTTTTGGCACAGTACAATTGTTGGTCTGACAGAGCGTTCATGGGTTCGGTAGCTGTAACACTGTATAGCTATTTTAGATGCGAGATGTCAAAATGAATAGATCAGTAAAGAACACCCCACTCCAAGTCTTGACTACATATACAGTGAGGAAAATAAGTATTTGAACACCCTGCTATTTTGCAAGTTCTCCCACTTAGAAATCCTGGAGGGGTCTGAAATTGTCATCGTAGGTGCATGTCCACTGTGAGAGACATAATCTAAAAAGGAAAATCCAGAAATCACAATGTATGATTTGTTAACTATTTATTTGTATGATACAGCTGCAAATGAGTATTTGAACACCTGAGAAAATCAATGTTATATTTGGTACAGTAGCCTTTGTTTGCAATTACAGAGGTCAAACGTTTCCTGTAGTTTTTCACCAGGTTTGCACACACTGCAGGAGGGATTTTGGCCCACTCCTCCACACAGATCTTCTCTAGATGAGTCAGGTTTCTGGCCTGTCGCTGAGAAACACGGAGTTTGAGCTCCCTCCAAAGATTCTCTATTGGGTTTAGATCTGGAGACTGGCTAGGCCACGCCAGAACCTTGATATGCTTCTTACAGAGCCACTCCTTGGTTATCCTGGCTGTGTGCTTCGGGTCATTGTCATGTTGGGAGACCCAGCCTCGACCCATCTTCAATGCTCTAACTGAGGGAAGGAGGTTGTTCCCCAAAATCTCGCAATACATGGCCCCGGTCATCCTCTCCTTAATACAGTGCAGTCGCCCTGTCCCATGTGCAGAAAAACACCCCCATGCTTCACAGTAGGGATGGTGTTCTTGGGATGGTACTCATCATTCTTCTTCCTCCAAACACAGTTAGTGGAATTATGACCAAAACGTTCTATTTTGGTCTCATCTGACCACATGACTTTCTCCCATGACTCCTCTGGATCATCCAAATGGTCATTGGCAAACTGAAGACGGGCCTTGACATGTGCTGGTTGAAGCAGGGGAACCTTCCGTGCCATGCATGATTTCAAACCATGACGTCTTAGTGTATTACCAACAGTAACCTTGGAAACGGTGGTCCCAGCTCTTTTCAGGTCATTGACCAGCTCCTCCCGTGTAGTTCTGGGCTGATTTCTCACCTTTCTTAGGATCATTGAGACCCCACGAGGTGAGATCTTGCATGGAGCCCCAGTCCGAGGGAGATTGACAGTCATGTTTAGCTTCTTCCATTTTCTAATGATTGCTCCAACAGTGGACCTTTTTTCACCAAGCTGCTTGGCAATTTCCCCGTAGCCCTTTCCAGCCTTGTAGAGGTGTACAATTTTGTCTCTAGTGTCTTTGGACAGCTCTTTGGTCTTGGCCATGTTAGTAGTTGGATTCTTACTGATTGTACGGGGTGGACAGGTGTCTTTATGCAGCTAACGACCTCAAACAGGTGCATCTAATTTAGGATAATAAATGGAGTGGAGGTGGACATTTTGAAGGCAGACTAACAGGTCTTTGAGAGTCAGAATTCTAGCTGATAGACAGGTTTTCAAATACTTATTTTGCAGCTGTATCATACAAATAAATAGTTAACAAATCATACATTGTGATTTCTGGATTTTCCTTTTTAGATTATGTCTCTCACAGTGGACATGCACCTACGATGACAATTTCAGACCCCTCCAGGATTTCTAAGTGGGAGAACTTGCAAAATAGCAGGGTGTTCAAATACTTATTTTCCTCACTGTATTTCCACAATTGGCATCACTAAACTTTGGTTCAAAGCAATATTTACAGCCTCCAAGTTAGATATTCTTTTCAGAGATTCCAACAAAATTACTATTTAAAGATTGAGTTCTTACCTTGCTCCGACAACCACCAAGTAGTCGAGAAGGCGAGGGCACATTTTCTTTTTCTCCATCTTGGATTAACCACGTCCTGTATGTCACGGCATCCAGGATTTATGTTCCCTCTTGAGTCAGTGGTGCCTTTCCATCACAACTGGGAAAGTTCAGGTGTAAAGTTGAAACACAGCCCCTTGATTATCATTGTGATGGTTCATAAAATGATTGAATCAAACCTGTAACATAAGAAAAAGATGGGGGAAATATTGATTAAATCTTAGGTAATGCGTTTCTATAGCCAGAGTGAAATAAACAATGGAGTATAAAACCAATAACAAACAATGTGGACGCATTATGAAGAAATCTGTTCCACTCGCGCTGCATAACAGCAACCACCCACATGATTTTTCAGAGCCGCAAAACTGGGTTGAATATATCATTATTTATAGTCTGACTTTTTTTAAATGTCAAGGACTATAAAAGAAGTTGTGTGCAGGTCTGCAGTAGCCTCCACTTTCCCTGCACCTGGCTCATCAACTGCTTACGTAAGGTAAAGGGAAGTTTAAACAGGCCTAAAAACCACTATGCTTTTTCAGATTAATGAGATAGGAGATTTTTCAATTGAGAAAACATGAGAGCAAACTGAGAACAATGTTCTGCCCTGCTGTCCCCGGGTGTTCAAACAAATAACCTATCAAAGAAGCGGTTTTATGACAGATCAGCAAAGATGTAAAATGTAGCTGCATTGCATTCTGGTTTATTAAGGCTACTACCAGTCTGTAAATCATTTCTACTTCTAACACTCACTTCCTATTTTGTTTGATAATCAGTGAACATGACAGAGACAGTTAATGATGTAAGATGCTTGCTATCAAACAGCATTATAGATTTGCTGGTCATGTCACTGCAATGTCACATCTACATTTTGCTTTACAGGAAATGAAAGACAATTAAAAAAATGTCAGGTTTATGTTCAAAATTCCCATTTTACAATGTCAGACATGACAAGCCTACATCAGCATCTCCAGCGTACAACAATGTTCCCTACATTTGACCCCAAATAAAAGGTAATAAAAGCAAAAAGAATGTATGTTATGTGTTTTAGCGTTGATTTTTTTCTGTTCAACGATTTTGTCAGCTGTTTGTTTTTCCTGGAGGATAAAGACTTTTCACTAGAGGCTCGCTGATATATTAAGCACCTTAGGGGCCTTGGTGGAATAAGCACACTTCAAAGCTTGGACTTTGGCCCTTACATCCCTCTGACTGACCGGTCAGATGGCTATTGTTCCCACCATGGAGCCACTCACTGTTCCAGTCTAGCATCTTCTCAAAGCCAGGATGCCATAAAATACTGCAATCTTCAATTTATCAACTTGACACAGCTGGATTAAAGAGTCTTACAACATAAAGTACATGTGTACAACTGAACAGCTATTTACTGACAACGTTATATTAAAATATGAGATCCCAAATGAGCAGGCTGTGCTCAAACAAAGCTACACCGACAGTACGACTGCTTAATCATCTCATAGGATCAGTGGCCTGAATGTACTCATGTAAAAGTTAAGATGAGGATGCACAAGCCATTTCAAAAAAACATAAACCTGGAGAAGGTCAGGATTATGCTAAGCTCAACTCTTCTGCCTAAAACTATTTGCAAAAACACAATTTGTAATAATGTGATGTTACTGATAAAAGGAACTGGTCACTCCCACACCCAAGGAGGTCAGAGGTCAGGATCAAACTTAACCCATTTCATTTACATTTTACATCTATAGGGATAGAAACACCATTGAAAGAGCATAATGGGCATTTTCATATCAAAGAACAGCTTGTGGCTGCAGTGACTACAGTCAGAGGAGAACTTGGTATCTCTGTCTCTTCCACAGCAGATTTCTCCCAGCATGATTGTTAAACATTGTTACAAAATGGCGGCTCTACAAAGAAGCCCTCGCTGTTTCATTCAGAGACTGACTTCTAACCCCTGATGCCTTAAAACCACATATATACATTATTAAATGATACTTCATACATTATACTTATATATGCATAATACTAAAGAATCCCAAGATGTTAAAACACATTTGACAGGACAAGCCCACATTAGCAAGTGCAGTACATGCCTGGTGAAAAGGAAGCCAGAGTGACATGCCTTAGTGAACAGCCTTTACTCCAACACCAACAAATGCCACATGCAGGAACTCCACCCTGAAACACAAACACTATACCCAGAGTAGTTTTCACTTTCTCTTAAAGGCTGTGATCCCTGTGCTGAGAAGCTAATGGATCTATAATTTAGCCAGTGTTTTTTTTTTTTTTTACCATTTATGCATTTCAGTTGAAAAAGCTAAGAGTGACTTAAGGGTTGCAAAATGACTAGTAAGTGTTTTCTACAAGATACAAGTTTAAAATGACCACATCTCTATCACTTGCAAGCAAGATGTAGGCTGAGAAAGAAAAAGAACATTAATTCTCAATATTTTAGATAATCAGACAAAAGTCTGCAGTGGCTTCAAGCTTAATTTTATTTACCCAAGGAAAAATGCTCCAGTATACCACATTTAGCCACAGGCCATTTAAAAAGAATCATAATTAACTTGAGATTTAACATAAAATAAGTGAAATAAATAACTATTAACATTGGAATTCATGATTTTTCACAGTTTCAGTGCTGTTAAAGGACCTGCTTTTGAATGAAGATCTATCAGACATGGATACGTTGTTTTTTCCAGCTGCAGCGTCAAATTTCCACAACGGTGTCAATGTCCACTGGACACATTTCAGAGGCAGTCTATCTTGAAGCAACACAGACACTTGATAGATTCTGTGTTGCTTTTTTAAATTAGAATCATTTGCTAGTATGTTTCTCTTACAATAACATTAACACCCACTGATGAACTTTTTACGTTAAAATTTAATATAGTAATATATAAATAAAGATAATGGATTTTCTATCTATATTGTTGCAAAAATAATTTGGCCATACGGACATTAAAACCACAACAGCATTTTATGTGATTAATATGTGAAATGCATGATTAAATACAAATATCTCTCAATTTTAAATACATTTTGACATTTCACGAGTAAGTTTCATGCCTCAGAGATGTATGTTTGTCTGACAAAAAACAGACCAGGCACACAAAGATAACAGGGCAGACAAACAGATTTCATGCAAGTCATGAGTGGGTCCTTACTGCCACACATCCAGACACAGGTTGTCATTAACCCCAGCAGCCAGCATGTGTCCAGTGGTCATTAGTGGTGACTTTATCACAGAAGGCTTCAGATGCATTACGGGTCCAATTATGTCTAATAGCTTATATTGTGAGTAGAGGAGCCATTCACAGAGGGACATAAGACAAATTTGAACTAGACTAATCTTGATGAAGCACAATGGGAAAATGGCTCCAATTTTACTTAATTACAGAATAGCTCCAAAGTAGAGAATGCTTACACAATTGTCACTGACACATTAGTATCAAAGCCACTGGTTACTTCAATATCTTGTTATGACAGGGTTAATTTAAGGAATGAGTAACACTTTCCAACGCAACAGTATTTGATGTGTGCTGTCACATACATTCAAATAGTGGGCTGAAACGTGTCTTGTTGAGTCAGCTTAATGTCAGCACTCATCCCATTTGGTAAAATTATTCAAATACACTGCAAGTCTGACAGTCTCCTACTGGCTTTTGCATGTCAATGAACAAGAAGACCAAAGTTCCCGGTCACTTAACATTAATAAGAATATCTACTCATACCCTTGTGCTGAACCACTCCTAGTTCACAACACAATTCTTGGTATTTCTACATAGATGGCACAAATCTGATCATGTTGGAGTGGTAAAAAAACTCAACCTCCCTCACAGCAACATAAATATTCAACAACAACATAATATATTGCAACAGTGAGGGCTAGGCGTATCCAGAACAAAGATCTATCTGTCTTTATCTTACAAAACCATCAGGATAATGAATCAACAAGCAGGTCTGGCAACACGAATGCTTCCTGGTGCAAAGCCAAAATGGCTATTTTATGAAGCAGCAGAGCTGGAGGCAGATTCATCCAGCACTAGGATACAGGACTAAAGTATTATTTTTAGATGGGGACAGAAGGACTACGCCACTTCACTGACTGTATTAAATGAGTCAGCTATGTAATGAGCCTTGTTTCTCTGTAAAAAGAGAGATAAAAGAATCACCACAACACTGTGTAATCTTTAAAGGCAAGATAATAATGTAGGTTAACACAACAGATGAATCTGGTCAGAGTGGTCTGCAGGCGGCACTCGCTGGTTATATAAGCACAGAGAGGAGATAGATATGATTCACAGGCCTCCAACATGGACAGCATTTCCTGCCAGTCAAAGTGAACAGCAGTAACAAGTGATGGAGATGACTGCTGAATTAGTTTTACTTCAGCAAGGACACACAATCGAGAGAGAGATGAAGTAAAGATTCAATTTTCCATGGCTAAACAGGTACAGGAACTATTGTCAGTCCCTGTCAATAAAACTGCTTAGCACAAATTGATAGCCTGAACCTCTCCAGGAGTATGCTGACAAAGTAATATTCTCCTCTCTTTATTATATATATATATATATATATATATATATATATATATATATATATATATATATATATATTCATTTATAAAAAGGTTTCTAGACCTTGTCCAGCCTCTGACGCCCATTGTTGGTCACAAAATGTACATAATCAAAGCACTTAAGAGTATTATGTAGTCTACAGGAAAACTCAGTCAGTGTTAAAATGTGCATTCAATCCTACAGGTTCACTTTTCACTGTGTGGTGGACTAACACTGGGTGTAAATCATATACAAATACCCTCTCCATTTTAAAAATCATACAGGAGATCCTGACGCACATATAAGAAACTCCAGTGCAGGATAGATGATGTATTTGTCCTATATAATCATTTAGCATTGTTTTATTGGGCTGAGGCTTTGACATCCAAGTCAAATTTTGCTTCACGATCATCGAGGTTGATATCATGTCTTCCGTCATAAATATGAAGCTAGGCTGGAACATCTATGGCTGCTTAAACTTGGTCCTAAATTGATCAAATATGTAATTCAAAATACATTTAGAGTATTTCACAAAAGGATGATACAGGTTCATTCATTCTATACTAGTATGCCCTTCACCTTGCTGACACTGATCACTATCTCTGTATTTACCCCCAAATTATTAATCATTCAATCCATTTACGATTAAGTTAACAGCCTTTTCTCATATAGCAGTGATGTTTTTGGGCGGAAGCTGGTTTGACATTGTGCAAGACAACACAACTGTAAAACGATGCTTTGGATGTGATGAGTGAGGAGTTTACATAACGCTACATAAATTACACACGATTTCAACGGAATGGGCGTCAGTTACAGAGTACAAATCACATACAAGCTTAAATTATTTACGAGGTGTAGTGGGATTTTTACTACCTAACATGCTAACTGATTGGGGAGATTAGAGTAACGACATACGGTTAGAGGAGGATTTCATTCAAGGCAACATTATAACGAATGTGGTACAATGGCAACGCCTCCTGATAACTCCGAGAGAGATGGTCGTGTAGCTTGTGGCTATGTTATCCTTTTTTTATATCTATTACAAGCTGTCAGGCCTTGGCTTTTCCTAGTACATGCTCATCCCAACCATGCATCCCCTCACCTCTGCTCTGCTAGCTTTAAGTTTTCCTACGTCACTGATGGATTAGCTAGCTGGCTAGCTGCTAGCAGTAGCTTGACCGATTTGTCTCACAAATATAAACCTGTGAAATATAACAAACGACGTCCACAACAGAAAATGGTTCACAATATAAGCCAAAAATGTGTTGGGTGGGTTTTAAACAGTAACGTTACAGCCGATAAGTAATAACTTATCCTCACCTGCTTACATTAGCCGATTAGCCGCTAACGTCCGCTGCGAAGCCAGCTGCTGATGACGGCCTGGGTGGTGGGTGCCCTCTTCGGTTACAGAGGGAGGGAGGCAGCGGTGTTTGTCCGAATTCTTATTTATTTTAGATTACGGTATAATATTGGAAACGTTAGACACGGTTAACGGCTTGCTACTCCGCCTAACAGGCTCGCAGCATAATAAACGATGCGAAATGTGTGTCCGCCTCTCTGGTCGATGAACGAGTTGCTCGGTCAGTTACAACCTGCCTTCACAACATCCTCTTCATCATCATCCGTCTACAGGGAGTTCCGCATACTGATAGCCCGACCTAACGGAAGCGACAAACTAGTCTGACAAAACCCCAATTAATGCTCCCTACAGGGACTAACGATAGTAACGATACTAACGATTGTGTGAGCCTATGACAGTAGAGGTTCATTCAGTAATCAGCCTGAAGAGTTGACAGTATTTTATCTGTGTTTTATCGCCCAACAGGGCCGGCCAAAGCTTTTAGAGGGGACCTGTGAGCATAATCTGCCACCCAACCACCCCCAAACTGTGCAATTATTACCTAGCCTACAATTTATGACAATTAAAATTACTGAAAGGAAAATAAGCTCTGGCAAAATTGAAATCAATGTTACCTTTACTGTTAACATAGAGAAACCCCCTTAATGATGACTGTTATAACAATTTATGACAAGTTAAATTACTAATAAGAAGATAAAACCTGACTAAATTAATAGCTATATTCGTTCTGAGACACTGGTACACACATTTGGTAACATTTGGTACTAAGGCATGTATATTTAATTTTTTTATTTAAGCACCAGTGATACTCATGATTATACTCAGTGTTTAAAAAATTCAAACACTTCTCAAATTCCTCTGGTAGTATAAAACTGTATATTAAATGTAGCTTACTGTAATTCAAATTATAATTAGGCTATAGGCTCAAACAGTATTGTGCTGTTAACAAGTAAAGTGCAAATAGGCTACTAAGCCATAACTTGTCGGAGGTTTCTGTACATTTCTAAATAACGGGCCTGAAAATAAACAGCAAGCTAACCCAAGCTTTCCCATCCATAAAAGCAGTTGATCACTGTAACTGTGGCCACAGTGGCTTTCAGTGTCTTTCAGTGTATTTCTGAAATTCCCACTCACAAAGCTGTATAATGATGTTTGTATTATGGCCATTTCATACTGATTCAATGATATATTGTAGTGTAGTGCCCCATGTGTTTTGGACATTGTCCTCTGTGAATTCTTACTTAAACTCATCATTCATGGGAGTGACAATCTGCTTTACTTTGAATTGGGGGATAACACCACTAATATTCTGAAGAAAGCACACCAGAGGCTACTCTCTTTAAGATAACAAAAATTGTGGCGGAAATCTATAAAGTGAGATTAAAAAATAAGGACATTAAAGTTATCTTAAAGGACTCCTCTCTTCAACAACCTTTTAATTTCCTTCTTTCTCGCAAAATATAAAGAGGGTCTAAGACCTTGTAAAGAATTTGTGCAATAGGGCAGATGTTTAAAGCACTTGGATGTTGCTGCTAATTTCCCTACATGTGCTAGTGTTGTAATTATGGTATTATATTTTACATGAGCCATTGTTTAAGTAAACAAAGCAAACAAATCTGAGTAAATAATCACCAGTCTTGTCACTTGTCTGCACTTAAGTCGGTCTGATTTGAGTCTGTTGTTAAATGTTAAAAAATTTATGTTAAAAAATAAATAAATTGGACCAACAAACAAGTGATTTTGATTCCAAACATCAGCACTACAGCATAGCTTTAATTTATACTGTACATACAAAACAGAAGATCTTCAGGAATTACAAGTATTAAAATAGGTTTGTATTTCTATATATCAATAATGTTTACAGTGTCACCCTTTGAAGACAGGAATTAAATGAGATCAGAAATAACAATTACAGTATATACAGTACAATTAACCTTGATACCTACAGCATTAACATTACTCTACAAAAAGATTTACGAGCCAACAATTGATGCTTTTTGCTCATTTGATCAGAGATCTGAGAAATAGCTTAAGTTTCATCAAATTCCACTTGTCAGTTGATGTGGGATTTGACTGGTGGAAAATTCACCCCTAATATTACAGAGGCTACTTTTAAACCTAATGGTTAATGTTTGGCTAGCGATACCCTGCATATAGCAGCAAACCAAAAAGCAAAAAGCAAACCTCACATTTCATTGCAAAGGGACCCAAAAGAAAGTTTTGCATAGCCAACTGAAACATATCACTGGTGTGGTTTCAAAATGCTACACATTCCCACATTAATCTGCCTCTTAATATTAATCCATCTGTCAGAAAACCATTAAATACATTACTCAAGGGTTAGAAAGATGTAAGAAAACAAAAAAATGTTACCATTTTTACAGCATCAATAAAAAATAAATCAAATTTAGAGAGGAAAGGCAAAAGGCTTGATACAATACATCGTCATAATGCCAGAACATCACTGACTTCTATCTTTATTTGTTGCTGAATAAGAAAGTGTGCCTCAGGAATATATATATATATATATTTTTTTTTTACTTAAGAGCATAATTATGTTGATAGCAAGTCTGGTAGCTTTCAAATTAGTGATGCAGCTCAATCCGGCTACAGAAGGGAATGAAACTTCTTGTTTTTTGTATAACTGGACTTTTGTCAGGTGTTTTTTCCAAGAAACTGTTGAGGGAGAGAAAGAAAAATGCTCTTTGTTTCTGTGATGATTCTGCAGGCTCAAGAACATACCACTGTTAATACAATAAAGAATGGGGAAGAAAAACATCCAGTATTTTGTATTCAGTCAACACACCAATAGTTGGAGCTCACTGCATTTTCCCATTTACAATCTGTTATCCTATGGTGTGGAGGTTGGCTGGGTCAAATATGCTGATGCACCAGGCAGAAGCAGTTAATTAAGATCTACAACTTCAATTAGCCATTAGACCAACACAATGAAACATACATTCTGTTTTATATATCATAGATAAATTGAAATGGCAAATACAGCCTAGGCAGTTAACTCCCCACAGTACTAGTATTAGTACTGTAGTGTAATAAGTACTGTAGTATTCCCTTGATCTGGTAAGACTGGGTTTCAAAGACACACGCTCTCATCTGGGGCAATGGACAGGAATATACAACAATCTTTTTCATGTAAGACATTTTAACATGTCACAGTTGGACAGGCACAGGTGTAAATAATAAAATTAATGATTGCTGAATTCCATTTCCAACTGCTTTGGTCCTGCTATGATGCATGCTGGATCAATGTCTACATGGTTTAGTGGGACACACAGAGTTATTGTTAATGTTATTAGTAACGTGTGCTTTTTCTACTGTGACAAGTCGAAATGTCTGCTGTGAAAAAGGCCTATTTTTAACAAAACATGATTTGACCATCTGAGAGATCAATAACAGGTTATTAATTTAACAACATTATGCAATACAGATCAAAGTACAAGCCAAACATTAAAATTCAAATGATTAAAACACATAAGATCCATCACCAAATGCTTTTAGACAAGATTATCTCATTTGGATCAAGTCAAAACCAGCCCGGTCTGTTATTAGGAAATCACTCTGTGCTTATGTGAAGAATCAGTGTAACATGTTAGTTGTGAACACAATTTTATTAATTAAAAGCCACAAGAAATTGTAGCTGCAACTTGTAAAACAAAAGCATTACAATAATGTATAATGCCCAATTTTAACTGGAACCTGGTGAAAAGCTGAAATGGTTGAAATCATTTGTGTCCAGACAGAACAAACTGCATTTTACAATCTATGGTTACGTAAGTGTAATGGTGATAGCTGGAAATGGCTACACACACTGTCACTGCATCTGCATTGTTGTCCAGTTTTCAACCCTTGACACAACACAAGTACAAAGAGAGAATAAACACAGCATGAATATAAACATAAATCTCTGTAGTTATAAAGTTTACAATACCGTAAAATATCAACGTTTCTACTAATTTCCTGTTCTCTGCACCATTAATAAAGATTTTGGTACAGTTTTAGTGAGGCTTTCCAGAATCTGACAGGTTAAAGCGGTTGGTGTCGAATACCCGTTCAAGGAAGATACTCAAGACTATGGTCAACTATACATCCCCCCCCCCCCCCCCCCCCAATATCATTCATACAGTAGATTATCTAAAATGTCTGTGAAATTCTCTGTATGTATGTTGCTTGTACATTCTCTCACATCTAAATGCATGTCATATAAAATACTAATGAAAATAAGAATAACTGTACTGCTTTATAATGATATGAATAAAAGTATAACTTACATTTACATAATGACGAACATGGTGTTAATAGAGGCAATCCTTTCTAATTTAATTTATGGATACAACTTTATCAGGATGTTTTTTATTCATTTGAAACAAGGGTCCTACGTATTTCAAGGTACAAGAGCTCTGAGTAAAAAAAGAAAAAAAGATTTAGTTGCATCACCATTTCCTGTAAATGAGGGTGCAGCCTGCCAGTCGCCTGCAGAGGTTTACTTTCTTGTGCGTTAGTATGTGATTGTACAATCTTCTGGATACTTTTCATGTGTGCACATACATTTTTCTTGTGAAAATAAATATACAATTTACATGAAAGTTAATGAACATCTATAAATGACCAAAAGGGTCCCTTATGCACTTCGAGGAAAGCTAAAGTAATCTAAAGTAATCGAATAGAAATTAAAGAAGCCTCTAATTCCCAGAGGTCTACTTCACATTACTTTACCTGAGCGACTATACAAACCGTTTGATTTCTGCACTTACTCCAAAAAGGAACACAAACTATTTGTTGCCATTTCACAATGCACAACACCAAGCAGATGGCCTATCATTTTACCTTAACATCAATAAGATAAACAGCAGATATGGCTCTGCTCATGCTTAACTCTGTTTCCATTTCTACCTATTGCACGACTGCAAAAATCACTATTTCAACTGAATGTGTTGATGTTTCAAACAGCCACAGTCAAGACCTGCTCAGAATTTTCTGATTAGAATTGTTAGATGGTGAGTAAAGAACTGCACTAGAGATTGACATAACTTTCAACAAATATTAAATCAGAGATAACCGGCTAAGAGCCTGATGCTGGTATTTAATATCATCATAATAATGTCAGCATCTACACAAAAAAGAAGTACAAAGGGCTCCAAGAAAACTACTTGTCCTTATGAAACCAAAACCTTTTAGCAGTCCGTTTGAGAGCAAAGAGCAAGGATGCTCTCTGCTCACCAGAAAAAAAAACAAACAAACAAACAAAAACTTCAATGCTATAACCAATCCTTGACCAGACGGGCAGAAAGTAGTCAGTGTTCCTGCTGGATGCCATGTCTGTCACAGGTTTCATACAGCCCTAGAGTGTGACATCAAGTTTGCAGTCACTCATTGACATCCCAGATTTCAGAGAGCA